AGGGAGGCTTTTCCCGTTTCATATGATAGATGGAAAAATATTGAAGTACATTGCAATAAAGACCAAAGTATCAGGCACTCACCCCTGTCAAAGCAGGACAATGCAAAGTTACCTGAGCTAGCTTTTAACCGGCTTCAGCAAACTGATGATGGGTACTCTGGATTGCAAAGGCGAAACTTTGGTCGTTTCATTGCTCGTGAGGCCGTGCTGGATGAAGAATATTGGGTTTGTTCTGCTGCTTTTAAAGAATACTTTCCTGGCTATCCTTTGTTACTCTTTCTAAATGTATTTCAGATTTTCTTGTTCCTCTGTCTTACTGTCAATGGCAGACAGCAGCCTGGCTCCGAGCAGAAGCTCATTGGGAATCTGTCTCCTATATGAGGTTGGAGCTCGCACATATCACCTATCCCTCTTATAATTAGGACTAGTTTAAAAATTGTTTTCTCTATGTAAGTCTGAGTTGTTATATGGTAAATATTAACTGTACTTTTGCTAATTTTAGGCATGTTGATGCATATAAAAGAAAGTATGCCGAACAGGTGAGTTGCAGTAAAAACCTTTTTGTTTGTTAGCAGTTAAAATATTATTTGTTGAAGTTGAGATCTTACCATCTAATATATCCCCCCTTTTCCCTACAACTCAGTAGAATGACATTAAGTTGTTTTAAAATATTTCCCCGTCTCATGGCTTTCCCACAGTGGTCTGTCCTATCATGACTTCAATCTATATCTTTAGGCTGGCCAGTTAGTAATTAGTTCAGTGGCCCTCACATGTTTATCAGTGAAACACATATAGGGTGAGAGCTCCAAGACTTATTCTTCTCATGACAGCTTGAGGTTTATACAATGTTATCAAAAGCAAAAAGTGCAAAAAAACTCTTAAGGTCTATTGAGGCTTTTAAGCGTAAAACGTAAATAATATGCGCACTTTAATGGCAAAGCGCACATTAAGCAAAGCAAAAAGCGCTCAACACATGGAGTAGAAGACAAATGGAAGTTCTATTCTCTGCTGGAAGAAGCTTATTTCTGTTAAAGCTTTAGGAAAAATTCACATGTAAGATTATGAGCTTGCATATTCATGTTTCCGGCACTGGTTTAGTGACTTCTGTACTTTTAGTATTAACAATTGACAAAAGAGCAAAACCAGATCCTTGCCTACTTTGAATAGTGTATATTTAGCATTTGGGATTATAGGTCTCATTTAACATCTAAGCTCAATGCCCATAAATGATATTGTATTTTTCTAGGATTGTTATTAGGACAGCAGTTGTAGTTTGAATTTTGGGAAAAGGTGTTTCATGTGGTTGATGAGCTTGCATTTAATTAGACATGTTCAAATTTGGCAAATGACATATATTTGGTACTAGCAACAACACCTTTGTGATAGTGTTCTTCTTCCGTTTACATAAATATTGATCATCATATGTTGCTCTAGTTTCTACCGCTCATATTCGTTAAACCCTCATTTTTATTTTCTTTTCTTTTCGTTCCACTATTTGTGTGCAGGAGTTTTATGCATTAAAGAGAAGATGTTCTGGTCAGGATGGAAATTGCTTGAAGTGCTTTTGTTTTGTTGCGGTACATATTAGTGGCTTCTAGACAATTTCCCTGGTCTTCCTTAGTGTTGTGTATGCACAAGTTGCAACTGGTTAATCATAGTTGATTTGGATTTAGATGGCTCTCTAACTTCCAGAATTGCTTTGATTTTACCATTGATTTCAAATATAGTGCCTTGTATCTAATCCGTTTTCGCCTGTGCCAATTTATTAGTATCTAAGGTTCTATTTTTAGCGGTAAAAAGTAATGATGAAGATTTTAAAAAAATGATTAGGACTCATCTCTAATTTCTCTATAGCCAGTGCTAGTCACAGTTCTGATTTATTATGTGCAAAATAGCTTCAAAAAAGTTGGTGACTTGGGTATTGGTTCGTAAGCTGAAGGAATCTAAGAACCTCATACAACTGGGGCTGCTTCATAATGCATAAAGACTGACAAACCATGCTAACAACTTTCCTGCGGCCTTTGCTAGGCCTCTTCATGTCATATTAAGCTGTTGAGTACTTAAGTGTCTTATATTACATTATCTGGAGCTAAAGAAACATTTTTCAGGCTATTTGGGCAAGTGTTCACTAATTTCCTTTTCGGACATGAGTTAACTGCCTCTGAATTAAACACCTATTTTCTGATTTAAGAATTGTAAAAGCACTTAGGTCTTGGATGTTTCTAGCAGATTGGAAACACAGGAGGTAATGGATCTGCTCCTTTGAGCAATTCCTTCATCCAATGTGAGAATGAATACATATAGATTGTGCTGGATGTTGTCGATGAATTCCGGCTAGGAAGTAACATGAGAACTGCAAAATAAAATTCTGTTTAAAGCATGAACCAGCTAGACTACCCATCAGATAAAAAGCTCAATTGTATCTATGCATTTTGAATTTTGATGAAAAGATTTGTACTCCTGTGAGGTGTGAGCAATTAAACTTCACCACTTTGTGCCAGTGGCCTGATGCTTCTTCAAGTGCTGAAATCCTCTTAACAAGTTCTACTTTCTGCAAAATTTGATGTCTTTTTGAGTTTCAAACATGCTTAAGAGCTTCTGCTATGTACTTAAAATGATTGTTATGTGATATTCATTCTTTTAGAATTTGATGTTTTCCTTCATGTAAGTAAGATGATTGTTGTGTGATATTTATTCTTTCAAGTTTGATATTTATATTGGATATTCCTCAGCCTTCAAATGTTTCAGGTCAAAAAGGAAGAGAAGAATGTTAGAAGAACAGTACTTAACAGTGTAGTGGGAACGTTGGACCTGTCCATCCGGAAATTTGTACAAAGAGAGAGATACCCAGGGGTACCAACTTGAGCAAACTTTTAGATAAATGTTGATTTCTAAATGCATCTTCTTTTATTCTGTAATTGGACTAAACTGTTGGCCTGGACTAGTGGAATTTGATTATATATGTTGCTATGTCTAAAAAAATGGGGATGCCTACATCTTTGCATTTATTTTTGTTGTAGTTACTATTCCGTTTTAGAATGCTTCGTCATACTTTCTAATTCTATAGTATTTTGCCACAATTTATTCACTTCTGTTATTTCCTTTTCAATCTGCTTTGATATGCTTTTCCTTGAGTCGAGGTTAATTGGAAACAACCTCTTTGCCTCCCAAGGTAGGGTAAGGTCTCAATTCTGCAATAGGAGAAAAAGGAAGAAGAAAAGCTTATACTGTAATTTGTTTCCTTCTGTTGAAGTGGAGGTAAATGTGTGTACTAGATTTTGCTGAACCTGCTGAATTCCTTTTCCTCTCATGGTCTCCAGGAAATCAAAAGGTTATCAGTTGTCATGGCACATCAAGAACCCTTTGATTCACATAAATATGCATACATTGCAAATGTTTGTGTTGCAATGTTTGCTCGACGTCAGGGTATTGCTTCAAATATAATACATTTGGCTGCTGATAAGGCCGCATTAGAAGGTATCTTGTTTCAGCTTTAAACTTTTTAATGTGCTCTTCATTATGATCTACCAGTTCAGAATTGCCATCCCTTGAAATTAATTTTCGCTGAACTATGTCTAATCTTATTTTTGCATGTCCAAGCAGGTTTCAAGCAGCTATTTGTTCATGTAAATGCAGACAACATACCTGGCCAGGAATTATACAAAAAAACCGGCTTTAAGGTTAGCTTCAATCTGTTTTTCCATAACCGGAACATCTTATTGCTATTGCTTAGTGAGATCTGTTTATGTGGATTTTCGTCCTTCATCAGCTCTTCTTTCTCTTTTTTTGATAAGTGAATGCTTGTTTTCATTTTTGTGTTTTTTTTATTTTGGACGTCTTAATGTCTGCATTGCATCTCTCCTAATCATCCCAAGAGTTGAAGTCAGTGCTAAGTAGACCTTTAAAACGAGGTAGCTCTTCATGAAACTTCTTATATCAGATCTGATATGATAACCTGGAAAATAGAGTGATAACTTACAACAACCTGTTGAATTAAATTGACGGTGTAACATTTCTTTACACGTGATGTATAACTTAAATCCTGTTGAAATCTTTTACTTCAACTTATCTTAGTTTGGTTGACAATCAACTCTTGATGTATAACAAAAGGTGTGTCGCGTCTTATGACTTACTCTTATCGCTCCATGCAGATCGTGGAAGCCGACTCATCGTCTCTATCAAAAGAACAGATGATACTGATGTCCTTGGATTTATAATTTCCCTTAGCTACTTCACTTCCAGACTAAAGAGGATCTGTTAGTTTGTACATTTAACATGGTTTGAAGCCAATATCTTGTTGGTTGATGTATGTATTATTGGGTAGACAGACAACTAGTTAGTTATAGAGGATATAATATATGTATAAGGAAGTTGTACGATTTGTTTGGACTAGGGAACGGGTACGTATTGGATACGTGTTTATTTGAGTATCCAATACGAGCATATCCGATTAAATATTTAGTGTATTTTGGAGAATTCAGACTATGTATTCATACACTCAATGTCAGACATTTTGACATGAATATTAAGCTGAGAGAGATTGTTTTTGTTTTTCTTATCAAAAGGGAATTTTGTTATTTAGTTTCTTACAATGTTGAGAAAGTTAAATATGGCTAAGTCTATGAGAGATTCTAACACAACACCAATTCAATTATTTCATCTTCTGTGATGGCCTTGCTTCTTCTTTCGCCTTCTCATAACGATTCTGTATTCGAGTTCTTCAGCAATCCTAGAAAGCCAATTGGAATTTCGACTCGAAAGCATGAAATATGCTATGGAGAATCCAATAATAAGTCCACTTCCATATCCCATAAGAATCCCATTCCAAAATTCACTCAGAAATGTAGATTTGCTTACTTCATCCAGCATATGTGTTGTGTTGTCTGTCTCTGGCATCCTGCTACTTCCACAACCTTTTGAAACAGGTAATCCACGTAGTCCATCATTACCTTCATATGAATTCTTCTCAAATGTATCGAATTGAGGTCCTTTTGGGATGCATCCTTCTAGATGATTGTGTGAGAGCTTTAAGACTGCAAGAGATGTAATAGAAGCGAGTTGTTGTGGTATCTCTCCCGAAAGCTGGTTAAATGAAAGGTCCAATGATTCGACAACAGATAAATTTCCAAGTGATGATGGTATATGACCTTGGAATCCATTATGAGAAATATTCAGCACACGAAGCGCGATGAGATCACCTATACCACTAGGAATATGTCCTTTGAATTTGTTGTTTGAAAGATCGATAGTGGTGTACAAAAACAAGATTCTCTCGACTACAAGCTCCAATCCCTTTGTTACCACAACTATTGAGTCTTGGTAATATCCATACCTTGGTGTTGGTGCCTTCTTTGATGGATCAATTGCCCTCATAGCTTTCAGATGTTGAAACAGACCAGTTGGTAAGTTTTCGGTGAAGGCATTGGAAGAGAGATCTAACATTCGAAGATTAGGAAATATGTTTTCAATCGTTGGAGTTCTAATGGACCCATGCAATCCATTGGATCTCAAGCTTAAAACTTGCAACTTTGGAAGAGTTCCCAACCACATCGGAAATGTGTCGTTGAGATGATTATCTCCTAAATCAAGGATCTGCAACTCTTTGCAATTGGCCAAAGATTGGGGAATTTTCCCCTCTAGTTTATTTCCATGCAAGTTGAGGCTTCTCAGTGAACTTCCATTACTGAAAATTGTTGGAAGAGTCCCAGAAAGTTTGTTGTTGTGCATATCCAGAACCTGGAGGCCACTAATATTACCCAAACATTGCGGAATTGCTCCCTTCAAATTGTTTTTGGCCAAATCTAGTATTACCAGTGATGTCAAATTGCAAATAGAGGAAGGAATTTCTTCAGTGAGATTATTATGGGATATGAAGAAGTATGTTGTGGAATTTGGTGGAATAGGTAGTGAACCTTGAAGCAAATTGGACCGCAAATCAATAGTATATAGAGATTGAAGAGGAATTGAATCCACACTCATCAACATATTGTGGGATATATTAAGATATCTCATTGAAAAATTCCAAGTAGACCATGTCCAATCAGGAATTCTTCCTTCAATCTTATTATTTGAAAGATCCAAGTCGTAAAGCTTCTTTGCGGATCTTAGAAACTCCAATTCTTTCACTTCACATGCAGCCAATTGTAACCTTTGAAGAGATTCGGGCCAAGTAAAATTAACTTTCTTCTCATTAATTAATGATATATTATTATATGAAAGACTAAGAAGAAAAAGGTGTTTGAGGTTTGAAAATAAGCTGATATCCACATTGCCACTAAAATTATTGAAAGAAAGATCAAGATTCATTAGGTTCACAAGGTTTTGAATTGAGTTGGGAAGATGACCCTGCAGCTGATTGTCATCTAAAAGAATCTCTTTTAGTGAATTGGACTTGAAATCCTCAAGCTGACCAGAAAAATGGTTATTACTCAAGTCTATTGTATTTAGTGATGGAAGGGAGAAAATCCCTGATGGTATTGTTCCATTCAGGGAGTTACGTGAAAGGTACAAATCCTCTATGCGGGTGAGATTCAAAAGAGATTCAGGAATAGACCCTCTAAGGCTGCAATCTGTAAGATACAAAGAATACAGTGAAGTTATATAGCCAAGAGACTCATGCAAATTATCAGAAAAATTCACGCCGCTGAGATGTAACACACTGAGATATGCACTGCTGTTCCATTTGGTCTTTGGAAAATAACCACTCAGCTGATAATTGAAACTTAAGTCAAGTGTTTCCAAGTTGGGCAGGTGAAAAATACTCTCAGGTATTATCCCATACAATCCTGTTTCTGACAGGCTCAGAGTTGTTAAATGAGAAGAAAAAATCAGAGGAATGATGGAAGAGATGTTTATGCCACTAAGATCAAGCTCTCTTAATTGGGTCAAGTTCTGAAGAAGCGATTTAAAATCATGGGTTGTGAGTCTTAGCTTCTTACTGTAAAAAAATGTGGAGAGACGAAGAGAGTGTAACTTGGAAAGATGAGAGATTTCGGAAGGAATTTGACCTGAAAAATAGGAGTAAGAAAGATCAAGATGCTTCAAGCTCGAAAACTTGCCGAATTCAGGGGAGATATGAGAATTGGAGAAGTTATTCGAAGAAAGATCAAGCCTTTGGAGATGAGAGAGTTGGAATAAGCTGCTATTGGAATCAATGGTCCCAACAAGTCCGCTGCGGCAGAGGTCAAGTTCAATGACATGGCCAGTGATGTCATCGCATACGACTCCATCCCATGAGCAACAATCTCTGCTTATGTTCCATAAACTCAATATTGAAAAAGAATGTTGGTCAAACGAGGGATAAGTAAACGTCTTCTTCAATTTTAGAAGGGAAATGCTTTCATCTTTGCGGCACGGATGAGGTATGGATGAAAAAAAAGAAAGCTGACAAAAACAGAGAAAGAGAAGAAATGAGAATTGTGCCTGTAGCCCATGTTTAGCATCAAAGTGTTTTAGAGAAAGATGGTAGTGAAAATCAAGAAAGGGCTACACAAATATATATAGGCAGATCAAGTTGCTACTAAATAGTAAGTAGTGAGAAAGTCTGTGTGTTTGCTAATTGGACTCAAATTTTATATAAATGGTGTATGAGAAAAACCGACAAACCACACCAAATTGATAATTCGAGTCAAATCAGAAATATAATAATTTAATTAGTGGCTTAGAATTTTGAATGGTCCGATGAGGATTATAGCCCATAGATATTAGTAACTCAAATAAATTTTAAATTAAAATTAAATCAATATATAATTTTGTATTTGATAATGATGAGTTCTGTCCTTCGGGATAACTCAGTTGGTTTGGAGGGTGGTTATCCACATGGATGACCCGGGATTGATCCCCCCTCAATGTCTTCTGAGTCGAGCCTGTCACATAGGGTTTGGCTAGTGCGTTTTACATTCCTTGTGTGGTTTCCAAACTATTACACAGCGGGGGTGGGGGGTTTACCTAGTGCGCACAAAGTGCTCACCGAAGGGAAGAGACTGTGGCAGAGGTTGTAGCGGCTGGTGCGGGTTATCCTCGGGTTCCAAAATAAAATAAAATAATGAGTTCAGTTGAACCCATTGTTTATAGGCTGCATTGTATGTTTTCGTCACAATTTCAAATGAAAGCTACTTATCATTAAAGAGTTAAGAATAACGGAAACGTGTTTTCTCCAAAATTTGCAAATTCAGCTACTCTCTCTCATTCACACAAACTTTCTTTGTCTGTTCATATTTGATCAAAGAAAATGTTGGTCAAGTCAAATCTAAGTTGTTCTTTTTTTGTCTTTATGTTAAACTTTTTGATCCATTAAAGCTAAATAACAATGAAAAGAAAAAGTTTATTGGGATTAATCCTTTGGTGAATCAGTTTGACAAATGTTGGCTAACATTGTTCATCATCGTTAATCTAGCTTGATATGACTTCATATTGTATTTGAGACGACTCACAGAATAAACGTATCCAAATAAGAGTATTTATGAGATTGAAACATATAACTATTGTCTTTCCTTTAGAATTATGTTATTAGACATATAAAGTTGAAAATACGAACTTGGAATTTTTTTTACTGAAGCTCAAGTAAATTATGTAATACAAACTTTGTCAAGTCAGGAAAAGAAGAACAACAAATATGTAAACACAAATGAGATTCATGATACTAATTACAAAAACTAAATGTGAACATGAGAATAATCAACCAACTAATCCATTAAGATTTCCCAATGTCCTGAATACTATCTTCCGCCCAATTATCAACTAAAGCGCGGTCATCTTACATGTTCAAACAAAGCTGCCAGTAAGTCAATTTCGATTTTAACTCTTGTCGTGCTCGGTCTTGTTTGATTTTGATCAACAACCAAAGGGTCTGCCAACAGCTGAGGCTATCAAATATATACAGAGTATAAATATGTTTTCTCTGTAATGAAATAACTGTAGTAGTATTGCTTAAAAGCATACAAAAAGGTGCAGAGACTGATTAAACATCATTTACATCACAAATTCACAATGTTACACCAGAAAAAGAAGAAAAACAAATGGAAATGCAGAAGTGCCTTTGCTTTCGCTGCTTCCTTCTCCTTCCCATCATAATTTTGTGCTCCAGCTCTTCAATGATTCTTGCAGGCCATTTCAGGTTTCCAGTTGAAATCATGAAATATATAATGGATAATCCAATACATAGTCCACTTCCATATCCCATAAGAGCAGCTTTCCAAAAATCACTCTGAAATTCAGAATTGCTCTCTTCATCGTCTAGCTGTCCAGATATGGCATAATTTGTCCCTGATACACGATCATTGCCACAACTTTTTGTAAAGGGAAATCCACGTAATCCATCATTGCCTTCATATGAATTGTTCTCAAAGGTATGAAATTGATTTCCTTGAGGAATGCATCCTTCGAGATGATTGTAGGAGAGATTTAAGACTTCAAGAGATGTAAGAGAAGCAAATTGTGCTGGTATCTCTCCTACAAGATGGTTACTTGACAGGTCCAATGATTCAACTGAACATAATCTTCCAAGTGATGGGGGCATATGACCTTCCAATCCATTATGAGATATATTCAGCACACGGAGTGCAATAAGATCTCCCATAATACTTGGAAGATGTCCTTCAAATTTGTTGTTTGAAAGATCGATAGTGATGTACAAAAACAAGATTCTCACAATTTCACGCTCATATCCCTTGGATACGACAGCTATCGAGTCTTGGTAATATCGACTTCCTTCATCACTTGGTGTGTTCATCATTTGATGAATTGTCCTCATGGCTTTCAAATGTTGAAACAAACCCGGTGGTATGTTTTTTGTGAAAGCATTGGAGGAGAGATCTAATATTTGAAGCTGAGGAAACATGTTTTCAGTTGTTAGAGTTCTAATGGGTCCATGCAATTTATTGGATCTCAAGCTTAGAACTTTCAGCTTTGGCAGAGTTCCCAACCACACAGGGAATGTGTCGTTGAGATGATTGTCTCCTAAATCAAGAACTTCGAGTAGTTTGCAGTTGATCAAGGATTGTGGGATTTTCCCCTCCAGCTTATTTCCATGAAAGTTGAAGCTTTTGAGTGCACTTCCAATTCTAAAAGTCGTTGGAAGAGTCCCTGAAAGACTGTTGTGGTGCATATCCAGAACTTCGAGGCCACTGATATTACTCAAACATTGCGGAATTGCTCCCTTCAAGTTGTTTCCTGCCAAATCTAGCATTACCAGTGACGTCAAATTGCAAATAGACGAAGGGATCTCCCCACTGAGATTATTATGGGATATGAAGAAGAATCTTGTGGAAATTGGTGGAATAGGTAGTGAACCTTGAAGAAAATTGGACCGCAAATCAATGGCATTTGCAGATTGAAGAGGAATTGAATCAACACTTGCCAGCATGTTGTGGGATATATTAAGACTCTTCAATGAAATAATCCAGTTAGACCATGCCCAATCTGGGATTCTTCCTTCAATCTTATTATTTGAAAGATCCAAATGCCAAAGAAGCTTTGCGGATCTTAGAAACTCCAATTCTTTCACTTCACATGCAGCCAATCGTAAGCTCATAAGAGATCCTGGCAAAGTAACATTATGTTTGTTCTCATTGGTCAATGAGATACAATTATATGAAAGATCAAGATAATAAAGTTGCTTGAGGTCAGCAAAGAAGCTGACATCCACACTACCATTAAAATTATTGAAAGAAAGAACAAGGCCTGTTAGGTTCACATGGTTTTCAATCGACTTGGGAAGATGACCTTGCAGCTGATTATTGCTTAAATCAATCCAGATTACTGAATTGGAATTGAAATCCTCAAACTGACCAGAAAAGTGGTTATTACTCAAGACTAAACGACTTAGTGATGGAAGAGAGAACATCCCTGATGGTATTGTTCCATTTAGGGAGTTATCTGAAAGGTCCAAATCCAATATGTGTGTGAGATTCGAAAGAGATTCAGGAATAGGCCCTCGAAGGTTGCAATTTTTAAGAGACAAAGAATGCAGTGAAGTTAGATAACCGATAGACTCAGGCAAATTACAAGAAAAATTCACGCCACTGAGATCTAACTCCATGAGAGATGCACTGCTGTTCCATTTCGTCTTTGGAAAATAACCACTTAGCTGATCATTATTTTGTAAGACAAGTGTTTCCAGATTGGGAAGGTGAAAAATACTCTCGGGTATTAACCCGTGCAATCCTGTATTTCCCAGCCTCAGAGTTGTTAAATGAGAAGAAAAATTCGGAGGAATAGTGGAAGAGATGTTTATGGAAGTAAGATGAAGCTCTCTTAATTGAGTCAAATTCTGAAGGAGCATTTCAAAATCGTGAGGTCCAAATGTTAGCATTTCTCCTGAGAAATAAAGAGATTGTAACTTGGAAAGGTGAGAGATTTCAGAAGGAATTTGACCTGAGAAATAGGAGTCAGAAAGATCAAGATATGTCAAGCTCGAGAACCTGCCAAATTCAGGCGAGATGTGAGAACTAGAGAAGTTATTCAAAGAAAAGTCGAGCCTTTGAAGATGAGAGAGTTGGAAGAGGCTGCTATTGGAATCAATCTTTCCTACAAGACCACTGCAACTGAGATTAAGTTCAATGATATGGCCAGTCATCTCATTGCATACGACTCCATCCCATGAGCAACAATCTCTGCTCATATTCCATGAACTCGTATAAGAGTAGGAACTACTCGTAACTAATGAGGGATCTACGATAAGTGTTCTCTTGAATTCTAGAAGAGCGTAGCTTTGATCTTTATGGCACAAATGAGGTATGGATGAAGAAAAAGAAAGCTGACAGAACCAGAGAAAGAACAGAAATGAGAATTGGCCAGACCCCATGTTTAGCATCAAAGAGTTTTAGAGTATGTTGGTATTGAAAATCAAGAAAAGGCTACACAAATATATATATATAGGCAAACTTCATAGTTCATTACCAATATGGTCTTTGCCACTTTAACATCATCACTAATGCAGTCAGCAACTTTGTTGTATATGATGCAGGATAAACCTTTTTTTGGTTCTCATTTCTCATCTCTAAAGTAGTGTACCATAGAGTTGTATGGGCAGAGTCAGGTACGGTCAAGGGGTTTCATCCAAACATCCTTTGATAGAAAATTATACTGTTTTTACACTGTTAAGATTATTTTTCATGTATATATAGTAGATGTTGAATCTCATTCAACTTCTTCATTTTTAGAACTCTCTTGGTGAAAATTCTGACTCCGCCACTGTCCACTTGAATCCGCCTCTACAAAAATAAAGGGAGGAGGAAATTAAGTCAAGAAAGATAAGTAAATCAAGAAACTAAAGAAAGCTTTTCAATCTTGTGATTTTAAATATGTCACGTGAAAAGTTTAATTAAAGTTTAGATTCCTTTTCAAAAGAACTAGAAAGGAAACTATGAATGCAAATGTGTTGTATTTTTCAATGGAAATTTCAAATGAACTAAAAAGGAAATGTGTTTTCTCCAAATGTTAGGAAATTGGTTTCTCTATCATTCACACTTTGTCTTTGTTCATTTTTTTATTAAAGAAAATCTAATCATTCTAAAGTCAAATTTGGGTTTTTTTTTTTTCATGTGTTCCACATCCACATGTTCTTTACAAGTAAACAAAACTATATAATAATAGGAAAAATAATCCCTCAAACAGAAAAAAAAAAAAAAAAAACTTAAAATGAAGTAGAGAAATCATCTTTTTTAGTTTAGTATGTTGGCACTAGTTTCTGATCACTACTAAATGTTCTATTTGTAACACTAAAGTTACAAAATTATTTCGCTGAAGTCAAACAATTCACAAAATATTAAAATTTTAAAAGAAAATGAGTTGTTGCAAATCATTTTGTACAAGTTGCATGTCTAAATAAAATATAGTTCATTACCAATATAGTCTTGTGCAAGGATTTTCCCAAAATACAAAGTGATTGGGATAGACAATTTTCTATTAATATATGATTTTAATTGTGATTTTGATTTGAACGACTAGCATAATAAACATATCTAAATAAGGGCATTTCTGAGATTGAAACAAATATCTATCGTCTTTCCTTTTAGAATTATGTAACTAGACATGTAAAGTTGAAAATATGAACTTGATTAGTCAACCAATTGAACTATTAAGATTTTTCAATATTTCGAATACTATTTTCCGTCTAACAAGCAACAAAAAGTTCTACATAATGAAATTTCTAAAGCCGGGTTATTGTTTTTATAAAAAAATTTGTTAAGCGTGGCCAAAAGTTCTATCGCCCTTTTATAAAGGTCATTCTTGTAAATCACTCAATTTAGGGGACAAAAACACATATAATGAAACTACAAGGGCTTATATGTTTCAAGCTTACATAAGAAGGATGCAAAGTGCAATTTTCCCCAAATATTTCTTATTTCCCTCTCATATAAAACTCCTTTCCTTATCCCCTAGCTGCCGGCTTCAGTCACAAAATCTCCGGCCAACTTCCCGGCAAGCGTCTTGGCAGGTATGTAATTCGATATTTAAGCTCTGAAGTAAAAAGGGTTTTGATTCTTTTGACTCCTCGGTGTCAAAATTTGAAGTTTATGGGTTCGGAATTTTAGTAGTTTTGAGTTATTGAGTTTTGAATTAGTAATTTGTATGTACCTGCTTGGTACACTCTAGCTTCGCCCCTTGTAGAGATTGAGCTTATAGGTGCATAGTGTTCTCTTTGCATTTCTAAAAAGATGCGAGTTTTACTTCTTGAAGATGGGATTTTTAGGTCAATAAAGTAGCAACTTTGTGGTTGTGGCAAGAATTGTCATCACCTACATTGTATTTGAAGATTATATAGTCGAGTCGAAGATAATGAGTGAGCAATAATCATACAATGGTTGAGTAAAAGCAGTAAAATTGGTGTTGTAAACTTAGGTAGGTACTACATTGAGAATGAAATGGACCCTAATAGAGAAAATGTAATAGGGAATTTGTATGGTTGACTTCAACTAGGTTGGGATTGAGATATAGTTGGTTGATTGATTGATACCTCTTTGTGAATTTTCTTGTTTTTTCGTTTGCATTCCTTTTAATATGGAATGAGTAGATATGCAATTCAATGTCTTTCACTTGTTGAAAGCTCATGTCTTTTGAGGTTTATCTATTCTCGTTTCAATTCTGGCAATGAAATCTTATCTTTATGTGACCTTTTCAGTTGTGGCGCAGTTAATATATGCTAGTCCTACATTAATGTTCTGTGTTGGTTCCTTGTGACTCGAAACAAATTAACTTTCCGTCTTATATTGTGATTTGATGCAGATTAACGTTCTTCAATTACCTGTCCAATAAGCCTAAGTTTGCTCACCTCTTTAGTGGCTCAAATTTCATGGATTCAACCTTAATTTGCAACTACGAGCAAAGGAACCTTTTTTCTCTATAGGTTTAATACAACATAGGCTTGTTTTGTTTCGGGGAAACCGCTCTGGTAGTTCTATGTTCCTATTGGAGGAAAATGGTCTAGAGGGGAGTATTGAGTAGAATAGTAATATTACGAATGCAGTATTAAAATGCTTATTATCTTCAATATGGTGAGTTCTGTAGCCATTTTGAAAAGTACGCTCAAAACATTAATTTTGAGTTATTCATGTTGTGACTTGTGCCTGCAAGATAACCACACTAAGATGAATTTCTTTTAGCATTTATAAATAATTAAATTCAATTTCACCTCTGTTCCGCTTCCGTATGTGGCTTCATTTTTCATTAGTTAAGTATGTGGCTTCATTTTCAATTAGTTAAGTGGAAAATAGCTTTGAGATGTTGCGCCTTATGATCACTGACATCTTATGATCTCATGACTTTATTGACTGGTTTACTGGAAATAACACTTGCAGGTAGTTTATTTAAGTATTTCTGAACAATTTATTCATGTATGTACATTAGAGGGTGAAATGAAGAGGGTCATTCTCTTGAAGTACGAGTTGTTTGAGGGGGATAGAGTTTGCTCTGATCCAAAACTGTATACTAGTTGCTGGTGAAAAATGGCTTATTTGAAATTCACGTTATCAATTTACCTGTCTCAGACTAGCTGGTGGTGTTATTTTTTCATGCATTATCTTTTCACTCGAAGGATCTTCCTGTGATTGAATATACGTAATTTGCTTTTGATTTCATCTTGGTGTTTTGAGAAAGAAAAAGGGGTCTCTTTCCTTTTGTTCACTTGGCTTATGCTCGCTCTTTGTGAATGGTTTTTACATTTTCTCATGCTCTGTCCTGCGATATGAATCCATGACCTCACTGATATCTGTTGCCGTTGTGAGTTTTCTGCTATCTATTCAATTAAGTGATTACTGGTTAATCATAGTATAAATTATTAAAAATATGCTAGAAACTTTACTTCTTATATATGATACGTTCTTAACCTGCATTGCTTCCTAGAGAGTTGTTGTCAAATATTTGTTTTGGCTGATTCACTTAGTTCAATTAGCTAATTTGCTTGTGCCGCTTTCTATTTAATTTTCTTTCTTCCTGTTGCTCAGGCTTAATCTGAAACCGTAAAAATCAGAGAGAACCCGAGGGAAAAAACAAAAAGGTAATGGCAAAACCATCACAACCAATTCAAAATGAGAAGGAGGAGATAAAAGAGATTGATACTGCGACATCCACCAACAATAATGAGAGCAGCAAAAAGAAGGTGACAAGAAAGTTGCCAAGTGCGAGAGAGCTTGTATCACACTATGAATCACAAGGCATTGACTCTCAAGAAGCTTCCTTTAAGGTCATTGAGGATCTCCAGGGTGCTCTCTTCAGGGTGATCAGCACTTCTCGAAATGACAAGAATCGCAATAATAATAGAAATGTGTCATCTGAAACCTCTAGAAAACTCGACGTCATCAATGCTCGACTGCTCAGCCTTGACATGAAAGTTGACTCCAAGCCAGGCTACCCTCAAACCCTTGCCATCGGGATGGCCTCTGGTGGCCTTCTTCAAGTGCTCCCTCGTGTTGCAGAATCGGTTGTCCAAATTTGGAACTCTGTTAGAAATGCTACTAACTCAAAACAGTAATAGACCATAAATCTTGTTGGTTAGCAATGCTGTCTTGTAGTCATGGTTTTTCTACTTCTGAAGTAGAGTTTTGTTGAACTTATGATATGCCAAAAAATAGAAAATTGTTCTCTTTAAGGCCCTTTCTTTTATGAACATTGTGCAACCTACTGTCATGAATCTTTAGCATGTATCACAAATTTTGGCTGATAAACAGTTGTTGTCACTCAAGATCTATGGTCTTTATCTAGACCCGATGAAAAAAGTGGGGTCACCTACATTTGTTGGTCATACTTGTACCTACTTTCTTACCAATAGTATTAGCAAGGGTCTATCGGAAACCTCTTTATTTCTACTAGATGATTCTTTATGATAGCATTAGCAAGGGTCTATCGGAAACCTCTTTATTTCTTTATTTCTACCAGATGGATGTAAGGCCTGTATACACTCTATACTCAATTTATGGAATCACACTGAATATATTGTTGATGTACCTTGCTTTAATTCATTCCTTAATATAATCAAATTTATCTATAACGACCTTGTTTGTTTGGAACACAAGTTTTTCTTTTATTTTTATTCTCCACATAAACTTTTCTTTTTCATTTGATATTATAAAAAATTCAAAAAAATATTTTTGTCGTATTTCCCTCATTATTAATTGTTGATAATAATACTTGGAGGCTATCACTGTCATTGTGCTCTCAAACCAACGTGGGCACACACCTAAAGAAGATAATATATGCACAAAAGAGAGTACATTTTATACACATTCATAAATTTAGTTAATCTACCCCTTCCATTTTGTACTTATCCTTTATCAACCATTCTGATCTCTCCATGTCATCACTATTTATCCTCTAAATTTTCCTTTTATATTTTTCCAATTTCCATCTCTATCCTTTTCCGCTCACCCTATAATCGAGTCTTTCTATAACAACTTTTCTATTTCTCAATATATAAGAATAAGATCTACATATATTTCACTGCATTTGTTATATTATTTCATAGATTAGTTGAGATGCTCGTAAGTTCGCCCTCCAATCGAAAGTCTTTTCGAAATAACTTTTTTATTTCTCAATAGATAAGAATAAGATTGATATATATTTCATTGCATTTGTTATATTATTTCGTAGATTAATCGAGGTGCTAGTAAGCAAAAAGTAGAAGGAAAAAAGAAAGTCAATTGAGGGCATTATTGTAAATAAGTCCAATAGTGTGCCTTATCTTTTACTATATAAACACGAGAACGTGACTCTTATAACTTTCTCTCTCCACATATACATACAAAATATACATATGTATATTCACTAGCATTATTGGGAAGACATGGGGAATGCGAACGCCAGAGATGACGGCGCCGCCGCTGGCGACGGTGAGGTGTCGGGAAGAAGATCTAATGCTGAATCTGGCATAGTAGAAGATCACCACGCTCTGACCTCGCGAGTGCCTTCGGTTGACTTGATGGTCAATTCTCCTCCGCAGAGTCCACATCGTTCAGCTTCACCTCTCTTGTTTGGACCTCAGGTTTTCATTTTTATGCTCATTTTATCCTATTTTTTATATATATACATATGAAACAGTATATATGTATGTGTTTGTTTGTGGTGTTGGTGATTCAAAGGGGATTTAGGATTTGGTGTGGAGCAGAGCTCAAATGAGGTCTAATTTGAGCTATATATAGTTCATTTGTTCAATATGTAGCCTTTTTTCACCTTTTTGGAGATTCAAACTAAGAATTTTGTCTTAAAAATGTATTTTTAAAGGAAGGACAGGGTTTTGATCAATATTAGAGTACTGTTAGAATCCTATATTAGTTGGGGAGGGGAAGGGACTGGCGATGCTTATATGGATTTCGGTAATCCTCCCTTAATGAGCTAGCTTTTGGGGTTGAATTAGGTGTAAGTATCATATATTTTACCTGGTATCCAAGCTGGGGACTGGCTGTGTTTATATGGATTTGAGCAATTCTCTCTTAGTGTGCTAGTTTTGGGGGTTGAGTTATACTCAAATGTCATATCTTTACGTGGTATTAGAGTCGGGTCCATTCCCATTCGAGCTCCTTGCCCACGCTCCAGTTGGACCTGTGTGTGAAGGGGTGGTTGGAGTTCCACTTTGGTTGTAGAATGAACTGATGGTGGATTTGGGTGAGCTAGGTTTTTGGGTTGAGTTAAACTAAGTATCATATCTTTACAAGTATCAACAAGCACAAAGGAATGGACTTGTCTCCATTTAAGTATTTAAGTAATCTAGCAAATGATGAGCGAATGCAGTGTAAGGTCTGTGCCATTTACAGTGTTATGTCTTTTCCACATATAAAGTTTGCTCGCCATGGGGTATATACTTGAGAAAAGATGACTTCTTTGCCCTTAAAAACATCTATGATTTCTTTCTATCCAAGTGCACTTCTTACCATATTGATATGATGAGAATTGCAACTTATAGTACTTTTTGTTTTGTTTCCAAATGTCTAAATTTTAATTCCGAAAAATGAGTTGATCTAGCCTGATTTACTGCGAAAGTTAGTCACATTGACTCTTCTTTAGAAAATGTGCCAACCATGTTAAGATGGAAGAAGTAATCCTTTTTAAATGGTTTAATTGTATGATGGTTAGCTAAGGTGGTGGATACGCTCACACCTTATGCAATTACTCTGCATGTTATACTGCCTGTCTGTATGCCTGTGATTTGTGGGGATGTGTCTGCATCTATAGGGGAGAGTTGTAAATTGATTGTAGTGCTGTTCATTATATGCTTAACTGTGATTTGTTGTGTTTTCCCAATGTAGTAGCGTTGAAGTGTTCTGCTTGACACTAAATTGAAACACCTATAGGAACAACCGTTACAACTTCCCGATCCCAGATTGGTAATATGAATCCTCTATTTTCATTCCACTTCTATTAAGTTTCATGCTATTCCTATATGAAATGCCTTTAGGAAAATGCTGGATGAACTCTTTTTTCTGTTTAGTTGGAAGCTTGCATTATAGGACTTGCTTGAGTGTTGGCCTAACCCTCTGTTAAATGGGAAAAAGGAAAGCATCTCATGGCCTGTCTATTTGTTGGGTAAACAGACAACTAATTTATATTAGCAAGGTACATGAAAAAACAAAAGGAACTTATGCGAGACGAGCAAGCTATAATGTTTCTGTATTAGAATGTCTTGCACTAATGACACCTAGTGCATCCGGGAGCAGGCGGCGGGGGCAGAAATGTTATGCTGTTATCCTAGTAGGACTGGTGAAACCATTTAGTCAATCTGTAGTCAAGTGAAAGTTGGAGTTCTCCTTTTGTGTGCGAGTTCTGCTCTGAATAATTCACTCTTATTCACTTTGGCTGATTTTTTTGCCACCTTATATATGATGAATATTCTTCATGTTTTGTGATCAACATTATCACTCAAAATTTAGGCTTTTCTAAGTGGACAGAAGGGAATAATGTCCCTCTGAGTTTGGCCAATTACCAAAAGCAAGCACCTCTTATTTTTAGTTAACTTGGAGATAGACCAAAGCAGTTAATTTCTTCTTGGGTGCCCCAATCGTACCCCATAAATACTTACGACTGACTAGTTTCAAGACTAAACTCCTCTTTATCATCCTTTTCAGGTGCCAGTAGTTCCTTTACAAGGAGGGGATGGCAATCCTGTTAGCAATCAAATGTGGGGCAATGAATGTCAGGATGCCTCTGATCATTCGCTAGAGGGTGGCATACCTACTTTGATTACATGGAGTTATGGTGGTAATAACGTTGCTATCCAAGGATCTTGGGACAACTGGACATCAAGGTAAACTCTTGCCTCGTATTCAGGAGTTGAACTAGATTCAACCAAGTACTAGCTGTTGCGATGATTCCTGTTAATGGAGTCTCTGAATGTATCGACTAATGATATTTGCTTGCAGAAAGATTCTCCAAAGATCAGGCAAGGACTATACCGTTCTCTTGGTCCTTCCATCGGGTATATATCATTACAAATTCATTGTGGATGGAGAAGTTAGATATATTCCAGAACTTCCATGTGTAGCAGATGAGACAGGCGTTGTCTTTAATCTTCTTGATGTTAATGTAAGTGAGAATTCTTCTTCCTGATTATTGAGGGGCAGCTGATTTACATTTGCCTAATGAACTGATATTTACATTACCGCAGCAGAGGCATCATTGATAACTTTAGCACATTGATGCCTAAACATGTGTTCTATAGTCTATGTACCTGCTGTTCCCTGAGAATTTGTTTGGCTCTTAACACAATCCGCGTCCTTCCTACAGGACAATGTTCCAGAGAACCTCGAAAGTGTTGCAGAGTTTGAGGCCCCACCATCACCTGACTCTAGCTATGCGCAAGCTTTGCTGGGAGATGAGGATTTCGCAAAGGAGCCAGTGGCAGTTCCACCCCAACTTCATCTAACTGTTCTTGGTTCTGAAAACTCAGAAGAGGCACCTTCTTCTCCAAAACCCCAGCACGTAGTACTTAATCACCTCTTTATAGAGAAAGGATGGGCTTCTCAATCCGTCGTTGCTCTTGGTTTGACGCATAGATTCCAGTCGAAATATGTCACTGTTGTCCTCTACAAGCCACTGAAGAGGTGACCACCCCGTGTTTACAATCAAATCTTTCCAGAGCTTTTTCAGTGTGGCTGCTTTAAGATTTCCACTGTTTATAGACCTGCTCAACGTTGAAACTTCCTTTAACCTCTCTTCTCTGTTGTACAATAGTTTCAAGTTTTATCAGCAATGCATTTTCTCCTTTCTTCACCTTCTTTTCAGTGATTTTATGTTCACAAAAGGATTAATGTGCAAAATGAAAAGAAAATATAGTTAACTAGATTTTGAATCGAATTCACCACCAACATATCTTTTGGAGGACAAGAATAAAATAATTATCTGTCGTGGAACAAAATATTTCTGATCTCTTCCTCGAATAAATTCTTGGTTTTTGTGGTTTATTATTTTGGAATTTCAATGAACTAATTGTGGATGGTTCATAAGATTTTATATTGCATATAACTTATCATTAAAGATTATCTCACCCTCAATTTTCATGGTCGAATGATGCTACACACTTTAAGCAAACAGGATTTAACAATAGTACGTCTACAACTTATTATATCTTTTCCTTAAAGAAATAACAGTAACATTACTAGTGATTATTTCTTCTTCTGCAGTTCCTTTGCCTTCGTTGCTTCTTTCTCCTTCCCATCATTATTTTGTGCTCCAGCTTTACAATGATTCTTGCAAACCATATCGGTTTTCCAGTTGACATCATGAAATATACTATGGATATTCCAATACATAGTCCACTTCCATAGCCCATAAGAGCTGCTTTCCAAAAATCACTCAGAAATTCAGAATTGCTTTCTTCACCGTCTAGCTGTCCAGATACGGCATAAGTTGTCCCACAACTTTTTGAAACAGGGAAACCACGTAATCCCTCATTGCCTTCATATGAATTGTTTTCAAAGGTCTGAAATTGATTTCCTTGAGGAATGCACCCTTCGAGATGATTGTAGGAAAGATTTAAGACTGCAAGATAAGTAAGAGAAGCAAATTGTGCTGGTATCTCTCCTACAAGATGGTTACTTGACAGGTCCAATGATTCAACCAAAGATAATCTTCCAAGTGATGGCGGTATATGACCTTCCAATCTATTATGAGATATATTCAGCACACGGAGTGCAATGAGATCTCCCATAATAGTTGGAATATGTCCTTCGAATGTGTTGTTTGAAAGATCGATAGTGGTGTACAGAAACAAGATTCTCACAATTTCACGCTCAAATCCCTTGGATACAACAGCTATTGAGTCTTGGTAATAACGATCTCCACCAAATCTTGATGTTCCCATTGATGGATTAATTGTCGTCATGGCTTTCAGATGTTGAAACAAACTCGAAGGTAAGTTTCCTGAGAAGGCATTGTAAGAGAGATCTATGATTCGGAGCTCTGGAAACATGTTCTCAATCCTTGATGTTCTGATGGGACCATGCAATTTGTTGAATCGCAAGCTTAGAACTTTCAGCTTTGGCAGAGTCCCCAACCACACGGGGAATGTGTCGTTGAGGTGATTGTCTCCTAAATCAAGAACTTCAAGTTGTTTGCAATTGGTCAAGGATTGTGGGATTTTCCCCTCTAGTTTATTGCCATGCAAATTGAGGCTGCTCAGTGAACTTTCATTGATGAAAGTTGTTGGAATATTCCCAGAAAGATTGTTGAGGCGCATATCCAAAACCTGGAGGGCCGTAATACTACCCAAACATTGCGGAATTGCTCCTTTCAAATTGTTTCTCGCCAAATCTAGCATTACCAGTGATGTCAAATTGCAAATAGATGAAGGAATTTCTTCAGTGAGATTATTTTGGGATATGAAGAAGTATTCTGTGGAATTTGGTGGAATAGGTAGTGAACCTTGAAGCAAATTGGACCGCAAATCAATAGTATTTACAAACTGAAGAGGAATTGATTCCACACTCGTCAGCATATTGTGGGATATATTAAGATGTTGCAATGAAAACATCCAGTTAGACCATGCCCAATCAGGAATTCTTCCTTGAATCTTATTATTTGAAAGATCCAACCGCCAAAGAAGCTTTGCGGATCTTAGAAACTCCAACTCTTTCAGTTCACATGCGACCAATTCTAACATATCAAGAGATTCAGGCCAAGTAACGTTGTTGTCATTGGTCAATGAGATATTATTATATGAAAGACTAAGATATGAAAGCTGTTTAAGGTTTGAAAAGAGGCTGGCATCCACACGACCCTGCAGCTGATTGCCCTCTAAAATTATCCAGATTAGTGAATTGGACTTGAAATCTTCAAGCGGACCAGATAAGTGATTAAAACTCAAGTCTATGTACTTTAGTGATGGAAGGGATAACATCCCTGGTGGTATTGTTCCATTCAGGGAGTTATATGAAAGGTACAAATTCTCAATGCGGGTGAGATTTGAAAGAGATTCAGGAATAGGCCCTCTAAGGTTGCAACTTTGAAGAAACAAATAACGCACCGAAGTTAGATGATAGCCAAGAGACTCAGGCAAATTATCAGAAAAATTCACGCCACTGAGACCTATGTGTATGAGAGATGCACTGCTGTTCCATTTGGTCTTTGGAAAATAACCACTTAGCTCATAATTGAAACCTAAGTCAAGTGTTTCCAGGTTGGGCTGGTGAAATAAACTCTCAGGTATTATCCCATACAATCCTGCATATCCCAGATTCAGAGTTGTTAAATGAGAAGAAAAATTCAGAGGAATGGTGGAAGAGATGTTTATGCCAAAAAGATGAAGCTCTCTTAATTGGGTCAAGTTCTGAAGAAGCGATTTAAAATCATGGGTTGTGAGTCTTAGCTTGTTACTGTCATAAATTGTGGAGAGACGAAGAGAGTGTAACTTGGAAAGATGAGAGATTTCGGAAGGAATTTGACCTGAGAAATTGGAGTCGGAAAGATGAAGATGCTTCAAGCTCGAAAACTTGCCAAATTCAGGGGAGATATGAGAATTGGAGAAGTTATTGAGAGAAAGATCAAGGCTTTGGAGATGCGAGAGTTGGAATAGGCTGCTATTGGAATCGATGGTTCCAGTGAGATTACTGCAACTGAGGTCAAGTTCAATGACATGTCCAGTGATGTCATCACATACGACTCCATCCCATGAGCAGCAATCTCTACTCGTGTTCCATGAACTCGTTTTTGGATAAGGCTTCCGACAATAATAAGAGGCTGACGGATCTACAGTAAAGGACTGCTTGAATTTTAGAAGTGAAATGGTTTGATGTTTGTGAGGTAATATGGATATTGAAGAAACTTCATGACAGAGAAACACAATTAAGAGCATAATAACTGCATACCCCATTTTTTAGCTTCAAACACTTCCTAACTATGCAATAAAGGTATGCAACTATATATATATAGGCACATATTTGTTTAACCAAGTCGCAGTTGGATTGCAGTAGTAATAATTATCGATTTTGGCATTTTTATTTTTCATTTTGGGGCTAATATATCATAAGTTCATTAGGTATTTTAATTGACATGTATTATTTCATTGTTGTATAAATATTTTTTTAAAAAAATTATGTAATGTATGTTGTTTTTAATACACTAAATTAAATAATGCATAAGAAATAACATATGTATGGTTAATGCACGATAACTAATACAAACATTACTAATACACTCTATTGAACATTATTCTTGTATACCCAACGTACTAATAGGTGATTACTTAATGCATGCATTAGCATGATTAAAGGAATAACAGCCCCTCAAAATCTTTTCCATATTTTTTAAACAATCTTTGTAGATGGTATTTTTGTAAAAAAATATTTTTTAAAAATTATCAATGCGTGTTATTTTTAATACACTAAACCAAACAATGCATAACAACATAAGAAATAATCTTAGAATAGCTAATACAAACATTATTAGTACATTATATATTCATCATCATTCTTATATATCCCTACCAAATGTTTCCTATGGATTTGATGGCAGATTCAGAATCCATAAACTTTAAAACCTAACTCTATCTCTTATGTTAATTATATAATAAAGGAAAAATATTTAAATATGCCATCGAACTTTGAAAAAAAAGGCTTATTTATGTCATCCGTTAAAAAATTGGCTCATCCATGCCATTTTCGTTTGAGAATTAAAAGTTCTTCCATGTCATTATTTGTTAACTGAAAATAGTTTCGGTTTTGCAAAATCATTTTTTTGCACGTGGTAAATTATCATTCGGTCATGTTATTAATTTTTTTAAAAATAAAGGGAAAAAGCTCAAATATGCCATTGAACTTTGAATAAAGCTTCAGTTATGTCATCCATTAAAAATTTGACTCATCTATGCTATTTCAGTTAACTAAATGGCATGAATGAGTTTTTTTCTCAAATGAAAATAGCATAGATGAGTCAAACTTTTAACATATGACATTAATAAGTTTTAACTCAAAGTCCAATAGCATATTTAATTTGAGTCTTTTCCTTACAATAAATTATATATGAGAGGGTTATTATTTGAATGGTAAAATCATATTCCAGTAAAAAAATATCTCGACATAAATTTAATCGTTCTTAACAATAGCCTTCTGATATCTATTAGTAAGCTTTAGCATTAGTCTAAACTAATGGAGGCCAAGGAGATGCCGAGCTGAGAGAAGATGAGGTATGTTGAAGGATGTTAATGATATAATCATTGAAACTTGTTATTTTCCCGAAGAAAGCGTAACAATGATTTTATTCCACAATGTAATTAGTTCCAAATTCCATCTTGACCCATAGTAAATTTGATAGCAACTAAAATGAAATAGAGAAATCAGTGTTTGTTATTATTCTCAAGTCTATGTAGAAATCTTGCTATAGAAATTTCAAAGAAAGCTATACCACACAATTTAATTTCAATTTAATGAAAAATTCCAAAGCTTGCAAAAGAAAAAATAGGAAAATAAATAAATTATGGAAACTGTTTTTTTAGTTCAAGAACCAACAAATCCTTACACTTGATTTAGACATTTATTTATGTGGATCTATTTCTTATTCTGAAGGGAGACTTATTTATAAAGAAAAAAAATAACTTTATTGGATCGATAAATGATTTAGTCAAGCATTTTTAAGTAGCGTGTTTGTTTTGGTATAACGGTAAGATATTGAATTGTTGAGGGACCTTATTGGACGTGATATTAGAATGAAACATGGCCTTCTTTTTTTTTAGTTTCATTCGATTTTAAATATCGACAATATGACGTTGATTAATCTAGATTTTCGCCGTGTGAGATACATTAAAGGTGTAAGCACCAAGTTTTTGACGCAGTGTTCCTCCAAATAACTTTTTTATTGCACCTAAAAGTATTAATGTTGTGGAAATATTAATGAAAGTTACTTAACACACAAATTTTTTTCACTTCGAATTTTCATATTGAAATAAATAAATTACGAATTTTATCATCAAAAGAATAAGGAAAAAGCAATAGTCGAGCAAGGCATGTTGTTGCCTTAATTCGTATCAAAGGGAAAATCACCTAGGTATACTATATCAGTAAAATATTTACCATCTATAGCAGTAACTTTTTTCTCTTGAAATATATCAATATTAGGAGAATGTAAGAGAAATCTTAGGAATAGGATCTATATTCATTAAAACTTTAGCTATCAATAACTTATATTTTAAATTAATATTCACATATTTTGAAACTATTTAGTCCTTACACGAGGTCGAGTTTTGGCAGAGAAATTTCAAATGAAAGTTACTTAACAATATATGTATAGGCACATATTTGTTTGACTAACTCCAAATTGGATGCAGTTTATCAATTTATTTGTGAAATTTATATCAAATTAGGAGGAAAATAAGGAAAAATATATTTTGTGTTTGAAAGAAGTTAATATTCCACATTGAAAGGAAGAATTTAAGGGAGGGGAAAAGGAAGAGATGAGGGAACCGAAATCAGTGGTGACGTTATTAATTTCTTTCCACTTTTTTGTTTTACTAATTCCTTTATTTTCCTTCTGCATTTTTAATAAGTTAATTGTTCTCAACTATAAGATATATAATTCCCTGCCACCATTTCATTAAATTAAAAGAAACCTTCATTTTATTTCAAATTTTTTTTTAAAAAAAGAGAGGATATAATAATAAAATTATGCAAAAAAGGAGTACGCGGCATCTTTCTTTAACTTGGCATCGGTATTTTTCTTTCTTTTTTTCAACTAAAAATATTGATTACAATTAAATACACACCCTATGTTAGTTTCTTCCCTTAAATTTCTTTTATTCATTCCTTTATGATTAGAATTAACAGTTGCACGCCAAAGAAGCTAGAGTTTTAAAGAGTGCTTATTCTTCGAGACCCATGTATGACTGTCAAGGCTTATCAGTTATAAGTTTATACACAATATTAATTTCTCTCAACTTTTTTTTAAAAAAAATAATTCTAATTATTTTTTATTTATATATAACAATTAGAAAATTCAAAAATTATTTCTTAATTATTCATCTATTTTTCAAATTTAGAAAGTCCAAAAGTCATTATCATTAATTTAGTGATTTAATCATCATTTATTATGCAATAAATAATATTATATAATAATTTTTATTTATATATAGAGTAAGCATAAAAAATTTTCTGCAATATTACGATATCCAAAATATTTTGAAGATCAAAAGGTTGATAACAATATAATTACTAATACAAATATAATTATTATTCATGAAAAAATTCACGAATAACTTGAAAACATGATTAACTGAAATAATTGAAAGATCAATACAACGAAAGAAGAGGGAAAAACTAAAAAATAGAACAAGAAGATAAAGAGACAGAACAAAAAAAATCAGATTTAGAAAACCAAATAAACTTGGCTAATTAAGACGGTAACTATGAATTAATTTTAGTTAGGGAAGAAAGAGGACTCAACTTTCATTTGCTATATTTTACTATAATTATAATTATATTTAAAAATATATCTATTAATTACTTAATTAAGTTATCATGTTTATCTTAAAAATTACTTGATGGTGTAGAAAAACTTAAACTCTTATTTGAATAGATTATATAGCAAGTTTCAAACAGTTGGTTCTAATGTTTTCTTGAAACATCATATAAAGAAATTTATATTTTTTGAAAATTAATTTATATTAGAATTATTGTTATTGTTTTTAAATGATGCGTTTTGTTACTGTGTGAAGCGCGATCAAGTTAACTAGTTTCGAATAAAAGTGAAAAGTCTTTCAAATAAAATGAATAATTTACACAAATATAATATGTACTACTTATATAATTATAATATTAGAGAGAGTGGAAGCTAAGGAGTAGTCAATTCAAAGTTTGAATTATTGGAGCAGACTTGGCAGTAACTGAAAGTCCACTTTGCATGGACATGAGCCACCTTCCACAAAAAATGAACACTTTCTTTTCCGTGAAAATCTAGCTACGATTTTTAAGTCGTTTTTGTTTGATCATAAATTTTAAAAATTTGAATTTATGTTTAAAAATATATTTAATTTAGTCATGATTTTTTTTTTATAATAAAGTGAAAAGGAAATGATTGTTACTGTAAACTCAATAATAATGGTGATTCAAATATTATTAATCCACATGTATATTTTACATATTATTATTACATCCATCTTCCGTATTATAAGTGGATTACATTTGAATGGTTAAATCAAATTTTGTACCAAATGTATTAACTTGATTTATAGTCACCTCCTTTCTTTACTTTAATCAGCCCACTTCAAACAACGATTGGTGCTATTGCTTTTTTGATTACTTAATTTTATAAATAACTATTTAAAGATATTTCTTTAGAAGATAAAGCAAAAAAAAAAAAAACCTAAAATAATATAATTTTTTTTATAAAAAAATAATAATCATTCAGACCCGAATAGAGATTTTTTTCAAATAAAAATTCCACCTTGAACTATAGTAAATTTGATAGCAACTGAAAAGAAATATGTAAATTAATGTTTGTTATCCCAAGTCAATGCATAAGTTTTGCTATAGAAATTTCAAAGAAAGCACTTAAAAAGTAGAGAAATATCATTCTCAAATATTAGACACGACTAAGTCATATGACAGAGTGTATTTTTGGTATGATTATAAGATATTGACTTGTTTTCCTCATATTTAGAATGAGAAGTGACTTTTTCTATATATAAAAAAATTGATTTCTCATTCGATTTTCGATATCCACATTAGGGTCCCGATTAATTGGATTCTCTCGGCGTAAGGCCTATTAAAGGGGGAAACAACACCAAGTTTTTGCATGGAGTGTCCCTCCAAATATCTTTTTTCTTGCACCAAGAAGTATTCATGCAGTTTTTGAATTAACAAGTAATTGCAATGAGTCTTGTTGTGGAAATTTCAATGAAAACTACTTGACAGTTGACACACATCCCTTTCACTTTGAATTTTCATATTGAAATACTTACGAATTTTATTATCAAAAAGAGAGAGGAAAGGGGAAAAGTCAAGTAAGGACTGCTGCCTCTATATCAAATCATCAATCAATTCCAAGTTCACAAAATGTTGTCATTCTCAAATCAATGCACACAGTCTTTCCAAGAAAATGTCAATTTGATGAAAAAGTTCAAAAGTTTGCAAAAGAAAAATAGATAAAAACAAAACAAAGCAAATTGCGTTTTGGTTCAAGAACCAGCAAATCCTTACGAGTGATTTAGATTTTAGACATTTATTTATGTGGATCTATTTCTTATTTTGAAGAGAGAAATCTTAGGAATATGATCTATTTTTCATTAAAATTTTGGATATCTAAAACCTATATTTTAAAATTAATGTTCACATGTTTTGAAACTAAATAGTGAAACAAAATTTCCAACTCCTTGCACCATGAAACTTTCAAATGAAAGTTACTTGAAAATCATATCCTTTTCACTTTAATTTTTCATTTTGATGTGCCTACAACTTACTCTTTACTCTAAATTCCATGGACTTAGAAAACTTGAGTTGCTTAGTATAAAGACTCTAGTAGAGGCAATTTGAACATTAATGTAAATAAAGACGTGACACATATTACTTCAGATTTACTCGCCTGTTTCTGCTATATTTTGGGGTCAATCTATTAGGAATTAGTTTGATTACTTCATATTTACACAATATACAAACTAACTAAATTTCCACATGATGAACTTGCAGGCTTAAAAAACTTGAGCATTTTCAGAGAAAAATGAAAGACGATAACGTATATTAAAAGTAAAAAGTAGGGGAAATGGTTCAAAACACCCCTCAACTATTGTCGAAATTGCTATTACACACTCTAACTTTGCATGGGTTCTATAACCCCCCTAGACTATTTTTTAGTGTATTATTAAAGGTATTATCGGCTTGGATGAACAACCGAGTGACCATACGTACAATGAGCGCGTCAGGGTTAAATTAAAACCCATCTCTATTTTCCACATGGCAGTCCACATAACTTTTTATTTTATTTTTTCATTAAATACCCTAGTTTTAGATATCAATTTCATTTTTTTATAAGACATATATACATGTCAATTTTTAATTGGATATTTCTTAATAAGGTAACTTAATTATTAATTATCATTATAACTTAAATGCCAACATTTTTTTTTATTTTACTTTTTGTTTACTTCTTCGTTGAGATTCAGCCATGGCGGAAAACTTGTGCCGACGCCGGCAATGAATAAGTCTCAAGAACTCTTGGCAGTAGAATCATCTCAACGATACCACATATCTCCTTTAGGCGCAACAACTACCATTACTACCAGAATCGCAAGCTCCACCACTATCAAATTTTGATAGTACGAAAACAGATTGTATATAAAACAAAAGATTAAGATTAAAAAAATAATATAAAAACATTAACTATGCATGTGGCAACGCGTGTATATCACCCCCTTAATACATATGTGGGTATGACATATTAAATAGGCATATATTCTATTTTAAATTAGTTCAGAGGTGTCATAGGACCTCCGCAAAGTTGGAGTGTGTAATAGCAATTTCAGCCATAGTTAAGGTGTGCTTTGAACCATTTTCCCTAAAAAATAATAGGAATGAATACACAAGAATCTGAAATATCAACAAAATTAGTCGCGCAAAATAAAAAACATAAAATCCTCAATTGTCACAAGGTTCAAAATAACCGAATTTAGGTAAGTTGAGTTGATCAGTTCTCACTTGGCCATCATGACCTTGACAAACTCGTCATAGTTGATCTGTCCATCACCATCCACGTCAGCTTCACGAATCATCTCGTCAACCTCTTCATCTGTAAGCTTCTCGCCTAGGTTTGTCGTAGCTCAGCTGCAGAAATGAAGCCATTCTGATCCTTGTCAAACACTCTGAAAGCTTCCTTGAGTTCCTCTTCAGAATCAGTGTCTTTCATCTTCCGAGCCATCAAGTTAAGGAACTCGGGGAAGTCAATGGTTCCATTTCCATCAGCATCAACTTCATTGATCATGTCTTGAAGGTCAGCCTCAGTTGGATTTTGTCCCAACGAATGCGTCACGGTTCCAAGTTCCTTAGTGGTGATGCAACCTGTGGAAAAATTTGGCAATAATTACAAAAAATGTATTGATATTGTGTTACAAATCTTACAACAGTACTTAAAAAGGATTTTTCTTTTTCTTAACTTATTCATTCAACCGGAAAAGTTCTAGACAAGCACAAATTTTGTAAGATATTGTACCAAATCTTCCGTATTATAAGTGGATTACATTTGAATGGTTAGATCAAATTTTGTACCAATACAATGTATTAACTTGATTTATAGTCACCTCCTTTCTTTACTTTAATCAGCCCACTTCAAACAACTATTGGTGTTATTGCTTTTTTGTTCCTTTCTTTTTTGATTACTTAATTTTATAAATAACTATTTAAACAAATTTCTTTAGAAGATAAAGCAAAAAAAAAAAAAAACCTAGAATAATCTAATTTTTTATATTAAAAAAAAAATCATTCAAACCCGAATAGAGATATTTTTCAAATAAAAATTCCACCTTCACCTATAGTAAATTTGATAGCAACTGAAAAGAAATATGGAAATTAATATTTGTTATCCCAAGTCAATGCTCAAGTCTTGCTATAAAAATTTCAAAGAAAGCACTTAAAAAGTAGAGAAATATCATTCTCAAATATTAGACACGACTAAGTCATATGACAGAGTGTATTTTTGGTATAATTATAAGATATTGACTTGTTTACCTCATATTTAGAATGAGAAGTGACTTTTTCTATATAAAAAAAAATTTGATTTGTCATTCGATTTTCGATATCCACATTAGGGTTCTGATTAATCTGGATTTTCTGAGCATAAGTCTTGTTAAAGGGGGTTGGGGGGGTGGGGTGGGGTAGGGGGGGAATAACACCAAATTTGGGCATGGAGTGTCCCTTCAATTATCTTTTTTCTTGCACCTAGAAGTATTAATACAGTTCTTTGAATTATCAAGTAATTGCAATGAGTCTTGCTGTGGAAATTTCAATGAAAACTACTTGACACACAAATCCCTTTCACTTTGAATTTTCATATTAAAATAAATTACTTACGAATTTTATTATCAAAAAGAGAGGAAAGGGAAAAGTCAAGTATGGAGTGCTGCCTCCATATCAAATCACCAATCAATTCCAAGTTCACAAAATGTTGTCATTCTCAAATCAATGCACAAAGTCTTTTCAAGAAAATGTCAATTTGATGAAAAAGTTCAAAGTGCAAAAAAAATAAATAGATAAAAACAAAACAAAGCAAATTGCGTTTTGGTTCAAGAACCAGCAAATCCTTACGATTGATTTAGATTTTAGACATTTATTTATGTGAATCTATTTCTTATTTTGAAGAGAGAAATCTTAGGAATATGATTTGTTTTTCATTAAAATTTGTATATCTAAAACCTATATTTTTAAAATTAATGTTCACATGTTTTGAAACTAAATAGTGATACAAAATTTCCAACTCCTTGCACCATGAAAATTTCAAATGAAAGTTACTTGACAATCATATCCTTTTCACTTTAATATTTCATTTTGATGTGACTACAACTTACTCTAAATTCCATGGACTTAGAAAACGTTAGTTGATTAGTATAAGGAGAAATGGTCTGGTAAACCCTTATACTTGTATCAATTTGTATTCTGAACCCTTTTACTTACACATTTGTCATCTGAATCCTTAAACTCAATTAAAATGAGACTTTTAAGCTCTTCCAACCAAGTGTGTAGCTCACTCTCCTTTATATAATTGACATGTCATATCCACGTCATATATATTAATGCCACATCATAACTATTTTTAAAAATTATTAACCAAAATTATTTAATAAAATGTAAAATAATAACATTATTATTGGCATTTCTAATTCTCCCTATTTCACGACCAAAAGAAAACCATCGCCGGCGTCGTGCCATTTTTGTCGGCGAAATCACATATACTTTCTCCCTCACCTGTCTTCATCTCTGTCGCACACCATCACTATTTTTCTTTCCTCCTCCAATCTCCACAGTAACAACAACCTAAGCCACGGTACAACCAGATTTGGCCACGACACAACTAGATCTGGCCAAACTTTTTGTAATCCAACACCGACTACTATTTCCACACCCCAAATTGCTTACAAATACAATTTCACACCAACCTCTGCCGTGAAACTCGTCGAAATCTACCCATTATTGTTTCTCCCTTTCCCACTGTTTCATGGCCCAAATCGTCGCCGCCGTCGCTATTGTTGCCGGTGAAACCACTCATATTGTTTCCTTTACCTGCCTTCATCTCCACCACACGTCACGACCATTTTCGCTGTCATGATTAGATCCTCGCACCCTCACCCACCTCGTTTCCCCTCCGTTGACCAGCCGCGCATCTCTCTCACTCCACTATGTATCAATGGTGTCCGGCAATCGCACCACTAGTGCCGCTGTCTCCCTCCGTCGGTGAATTAGTTGACTCAAGGAGGTGCCCAAGATAATCTAAATAAATAAAAATAGATTGTGGAAAAAAAGAAAAAAAAGGGTTGGGCAGGGGATGACTATGGCTGAAAAGGAGGTGTAATGGGTAAAGAAGGAGTTTTTTAATTAATGGTTTAAAAATATTTAAAAAATTATTTTTTAAAATAATTTTTAATATTTTTTTAAAGTAAAAATGCTCCTCACACGCCTTAATAGGCGTGTAGTTAGTTACACACTTTTGCCAACTTAGACATCCTAATGCCACATAAGCCTGATCAATGGTTAGAGAGATCTGTTAAATTGTGTTTTATTGAGTTTAAGGGTCCAGATGACAAAGGTATAAGTAGAAGGGTTCAGAATACAAACTCATACAAGTATAAGGGTCCACCAGACCATTTCGCCTAAAGACTTTAGTAGAGGCAATTTGATCATTAATGTAAACAAAGATGTGACACATATTAATTCAGATTTACTCGTTTAGTTTGATTACTTCATATTTACACAATATACAAACTAACTAAATTTTCACATAAGGAACTTGCAGGCATAAAAAACTTGAGCATTTTCAGAGAAAAATGGAAGACGATAATGTATATTAGAAGTAAAAAATAACAGGAATGAATACACAAGAATCTGAAATATCAACAAAATTAGTCGCGCAAAATAAAAAACATAAAATCCTCAATTGTCATAAGGTTCAAAATAACTGAATTTAGGTAAGTTGAGTTGATCAGTTCTCACTTGGCCATCATGACCTTGACGAACTCGTCATAGTTGATCTGTCCATCACCATCCACGTCAGCTTCATGAATCATCTCGTCAACCTCTTCATCTGTAAGTTTCTCGCCTAGGTTTGTCATGACATGGCGTAGCTCAGCTGCAGAAATGAATCCATTCTGATCCTTGTCAAACACTCTGAAAGCTTCCTTGAGCTCCTCCTCAGAATTAGTGTCTTTCATCTTCCCAGCCGTCAAGTTAAGGAACTCGGGGAAGTCAATGGTTCCATTTCCATCAGCATCAACTTCATTGATCATGTCTTGAAGCTCAGCCTCAGTTGGATTTTGTCCCAACAACCGCATCACAGTTCCAAGCTCCTCAGTAGTGATGCAACCTATAGAAAGATTTGGCAATAGTTACAAAAAATGTATTGCTATTGTGTTACAAATCTTACAACAGTACTTAAAAAGGAAAAACAGGGAAAATCTACCAGAAAAGTTCTAGACAAGCACGAAACAACGAGAATAGCTGAACAAAACTAACACATCATTAACCGCATCCATGACTTAAAATTATAAAATATATAGGAAAAAAGGGAAAATCTTTTCAATGGGAGGACAGACCAAATTTTATTTTCATCAAGCCCATGCGAAGGGTTTGGTTAAGATATGCTAGATTTCACCAAGTATACAAATGGAACCTAACCATACATGTCCTCTAATTATATCTTCTAAATTGTCCCCACAATCAATCCATCTTTCCCCCTCCAAAAGGAGATTTTAGTAGAAAACCAAATATGATACTCAAGCTAAGGGTCAAATTGGTAGTTTTTCTTACATCTCCCCCTCCTGGAAATCAGGTTCGTCCGTAATCTGTTTCAACCAAAAGATGTAGTCATTCCAACCAAAAGCGGTCAGGTTTAGGTGTTACAACTAAATTCGCTTATATAATACTACCAAGTCTGAAACTTTCTAAGGACATATTTATCCGCTAGTTGGTAAGAAAAGCAAACATAAGTATATATATACTTTCTTTTGAGAAAAAGTAACTGTAACATAAGTAAATATGCTCGATTGGTAGAAAAGCCTGAGTCAGCACCAGAATAATGAACTAACTGCTGTAGCACCCAATGATGTGGCTAAGTGGTCAATAACATGGGTTGCACACCATGAGGTCTTAGGTTAAATTCCCAACAGAGACAAAACACTAGGTGATTTCTTCCCATCTGTTCTAGCCTTGGTCGATAGGGGTACCCGATACTTGTTGACGGTGGGAGGTGGCAAGTATACTTGGTCGGCCTACGTGGCACTATCTTGTGGGCCCAGGGCGTGTTGACTATTTTTTCAAAGATAGTGCCACGTAGGCCGAAAAGGGGTAGGAAATTATATATAAAATAAGTTTAGGGGGATAATAAGACCTTAGTAAAGGTTAGGTGTGTCTCAGGGATTTCGAGCATAGGCTGGGGGGTACTTATGCATTTTCCCATAAAAAAAAATTCCTCCAAATATATCAATATTAGGAGAATCTAAGAGAAATCTTTGGAATAGGATATATATTCATTAAAACTTTGCATATCAGTAACTTATATTTTAAATTAATATTCACATATTTTAAAACTATTTAGTCCTTACACGAGGTCGAGTCTTGCCATAGAAATTTCAAATGGAAGTTACTTAACAATACATGTATAGGCACATATTTGTTTGACTAACTCCAAATTGGATGCAGTAGTATTAATTTAGTCATGATTTTTTTTTCTAATAAAGTGAAAAGGAAATAATTGTTACAGTAAACTCAATAATAATGGTGATTCAAATATTATTAATCCACATACATATTTTACATATCATTATTACATCCATCTTCCGTATTATAAGTGGATTACATCCGAATGGTTAAATCAAATTTTGTACCAAATATATTAACGTGATTTATAGTAACCTTCTTTCTTTACTTTAATCATCCCACTTCAAACAACAATTGGTGCTATTTGTCATGTCCCGCCACTTCGCACGGAACATTGGTGAAAAGCTAAGTCCGTGACATATTGTTTTTTGGTTCCTTCTCTTTTGATTACTTAATTTTATGAATAACTATTTAAAGAAATTTCTTTAAAAGATAAAGAAAAAAAAATGAACATAAAATAATCTAATTTTTTTTATAAAAAAAATCATTCAGACCCGAATAGAAATTTTTTTTTTTCAAATAAAAATTCCACCTTGACCTATAGTAAATTTGATAGCAACTGAAAAGAAATATGGAAATTAATGTTTGTCATCCTCCAGTCCATACACAAGTCTTGCTATAGAATTTTCAAAGAAAGCCACATCACACAAATTGATTCAATTTAATGAAAAATTCCAAAGTTTGCAAAAGAAAAAAATAGATCAAAACAAAGTGTGTTTTGGTTCAAGAAGGATTTACGCTTGATTTAGACATTTATTGGTATAATACATTAATATGCTTTTTAACTTGGTCTTAGCTATATTCATGCCCTCCAACTTTTGGTCTGCATAAATAGACACTTAAACTTATATAAAGTTGAACAAATAGATACACACATCCAATGTGGCATCGACAATTTTCATCTTATGTGGTGTCTTATGTGTATTATGTCACATAAGGATGCAAATGTCTACTTGTTCAACTTCATATAAGTTGAAGTGCTTACTTGTGCACATCTAAAATTGGAGGACATAAATGTGAAATGAAGCCAAATTGAAGGACACATTTATGTATTATGCCAACATTTATTTATGTGGATCTATTTCTTATTTTGAAGGGAGAATCTAAGAGAAATCTTAGGAATATGATCTATTTTCATTTGGAAGTTTGAGTAAATCTATTTTCTTTATAGTAGATATATGAAGTTTAATAAATCTATTTTCATTAAAACTTTGGTTATCGATATCCTACAATTTTTAAATTAATATTCACATATTTAAAAACTACATAGTGAAACAAAATTTTCAAGTCCTTGCACAAGTCTTGCCATGGAAATTTCAAATGAAAGTTACAAAATAATCATATCCTTTTCATTTTGATGTGATTACAACTTACTCTTTACTCTAAATTCCATGGACTTAGAAGACTTGAGTTGATTAGTATAAAGACTTTAGTAGAGGCAATTTGATCATTAATGTAAACAAAGATGTGACACATATTACTTTAGATTTGCTCGTCTGTTTCAAAATAAGTGATATTTTTAGTTTAATTACTTCATATTTACCTTCTATAGGATAAACACAATACAAAAACTAACTGTATTTCAACATGGTGATCTTGCAGGTTAAAAAAAACTTGAGCATTTCAGAGAAAATTGGAAGACGATCAACGTATATTAGAAGTAAAAAATAACGAGAACGAATACACAAGAATCTGAAATATCAACAAAATTAGTCGCATAAAATAAAAAAAACATAAAATCCTCAATTGTCATAAGGTTCAAAATAACTGAATTTAGGTAAGTTGAGTTGATCAGTTCTCACTTGGCCATCATGACCTTGACGAACTCGTCATAGTTGATCTGTCCATCACCATCCACGTCAGCTTCACGAATCATCTCGTCAACCTCTTCATCTGTAAGCTTCTCGCCTAGGTTTGTCATGACATGGCGTAGCTCAGCTGCAGAAATGAATCCATTCTGATCCTTGTCAAACACTCTGAAAGCTTCCTTGAGCTCCTCCTCAGAATCAGTGTCTTTCATCTTCCGAGCCATCAAGTTAAGGAACTCGGGGAAGTCAATGGTTCCATTTCCATCAGCATCAACTTCATTGATCATGTCTTGAAGCTCAGCCTCAGTTGGATTTTGGCCCAACGAACGCATCACGGTTCCAAGTTCCTTAGTGGTGATGCAACCTGTAGAAAAATTTGGCAATAAATTACAAAAAATGTATTGATAGTGTTACAAATCTTACAACAGTACTTAAAAAGGTTTTTTCTTTTTCTTAACTTATTCATTCTACCCGCGGAAAAGTTCTAGACAAGCACAAAACAACGAGAATAGCTGAACAAAACTAACACATCATTAACCGCATCCATGACTTAAAATTATAAAATATATAGGAAAACAGGGAAAATCTTTCAATGCGAGGACAGACCAAATTTTATTTTCATCGAGCCCATGCAAAGGGTTTGGTTAAGATACACCAGATTCCACCAAGTATACAAATGGAACCTAACCATACATGTCCTCCGATTATATCTTCTAAATCATCCCCACTATCAATCCATCCTTCCCCTCCAAACGGGGATTGTAGTAGAAAACCAAAAAATATGATACTCAAGCTAAGGGTCAAATTGGTAGTCATTCCGTAATCTGTTTCAACCAAAAGATGCAGTCATTCCAACCAAAAGCAGCTGATCAGGTTTAGGAGTTCGGACTAAATTCGCTTATATAATACTACCAAGCCTGAAATTTTCTAAGGACATATTTATCAGCTAGTTGGTAAGAAAAGCAAACAAAGTATATATATACTTTATTTTGAGAAAAAGTAACTGTAACATAAGTAAATATACTCGATTGATAGAAAAGCTTGAGTCTGCACCAGAATAGTGAACTAACTGCTGTAGCACCCAATGATGTGGCTTAGTGGTCAATGATGTGGGTTGAGCACCATGAGGTCTCAGGTTGAATTCCCAACAGAGACAAAACACTAGGTGATTTCTTCCCATCTGTTCTAGCCTAGTTCTAGCCTTGGTCGACAGAGGTACCCGATACTTGTTGACAGTGGAAGGTGGCAAGTATCCCGTGGAATTAGTCAAGGTGCATGAAAGTTGTCCCAGAGACTGCAGACACCACAGTTATATAAATAAAAAAAGAACTAACTGCTGTATAGATATAAATATAGATAGGGAACATCAGTAATGTCTCAGGAAAAGTGACTTTGCCCAAAATGTCTGAAGATGGTTCTAGTCGGACCATATTTTCTTTACCATATGAGTAAAAATTTTCCCAAAAAGACTAGCATAAACTTTCTTACAAGCTAAAGCATTGTAGGGGAATCATACAATCCCGTTACGAACGAGTTACCCCATTGAACAAAATTGATTATACCCATCATTAAGCAAAACAAAGAAAAAATCAAGAATCAACAGTAGAAATCATAGCCAAGAAACACATAAGAGGGATTCAACCTTTCTAAGAAATGTGAACTGATTTGAGCCAAATACCATTTCAACAGCTTCATTCTGATGCAACCCTCAAATAAGTTCCCCATTTGTCAAAACCAAATCAACCCTCAAGTTGCCAGGTACAATCAATCAAACAAGTTAACAATATCAACAAATACTTAACCTGCTGACCAACTTCACAAAGGTCAATCTGACATCTAATTATACAACAAGTTGAAGTAAAACCAGGTTCAAAATCAAATCTTTATCGGCATCTCAAGTTCAAACCTGTCACAGCCAAAAGCCTAGTGTTTTAAGTGGATAAGAGTAAATGTGCGAGCTCATTATCTACCAAGTTTCAAACCGTGCACCAGTTGGTTTCAGGGATATCTTGGTTATCAAAAAAATCAAATCTTTATCAAATATATTCCACCAACAACATAGAAAGACCATCTCCATGCACCACGAAGTGTAAGTTTTCCACCTAGTGACACAAATTATCACCATCCTCACCACAAAAAGATGCTAGATCTTGGCAGTGGATGTTTTCATATGATCCCTTTTCATTAGTAAAATTGGTGAATTAAGCAAAGATACAGAAAGAGAGGGACTTGAACCCATCCACTACCTCCCTTTGAACTATATAATATTGAATGAAACAATCTATCCAAATGTCTCTATGTGTACTTGGAGTACATTCTACCCCCAGACCTCACCTTTTTTTTTTATAACCGTGGTGTCTAGACCAACTTTCACACATCTCGACTAATTCTATGGATACCTACCACCTACCACCTCCCACCAGCAACATGTACCGGATATCTCTATCCACCAAGGCTAGGACTGGTGGAGAGAAATCACCTAGTATCATCACTTGCCTGGGTATGTTGTTGTAATTCTCCATATGATAAGTTTGCACTCATTTTCAAGAAGGATAACAATGGTTTCAAATATATTCCAAACTCATTCACTCAACAATATTGGATCCATTTGTCCTCACTCAACATCAAATCAATCATAGATCACAAATAAGTCAATAAATAGCAACACTAAATGTGGATCTAGCCCTTCGAATCACGTTAAACCAAATCCATTTCTTTAACCTCAACCAATTACAACTACACATATATATATGATAGACAGCAATCAGCAATCAGCAATCACTCCGACCCATTGACTCTAAAGTCTTGGATCAAAATTTTAGGCATGACCCAGAAAGAACAAACACATAAATATGATAAAAACAACAAAAAATCCAAGATTTATCCATTTGGGTGTCTTCAGAGCGATTAAAGATTCAATTTTTCTTCAAAAAAATGAAAATAAATTTTTGGGTGTATGAAAAAAAGAATGGAAAGAATAGTCATGAAGAGCTTACCATCTCCATCTTTGTCGAAAAGGCTGAAGGCTTCCTTGAACTCAGAGATCTGATCATCTGTAAGCTGATCCGCCATGGAAGTTGAAAATGAGAGAAAAATGGGACAAAAGATGAGAAGAAGAAAAATAAAAAATGAAGAAGTGAGTGTCAACTTGGAAATATGGAATGGGGGGGTGCGGGGTTGGGTGGGGTGTGCATATGATGTTTTTTTATAATCATAATTTCCGTAATAATTTATGTGTACCTTGATTAAATATATATGATCTTTCACTAATACAAATATTTAAGATGATGATGATGATAATAATAATAATAATAATAATATGCAAGTTAGCATGCACCCTACTTAACTATTTTGCGATATATAATATTAATACTCCTTAAATCTCAATTTCTATGATCTTTTGCTAATTTTGTTTTAAAGAGTTATTATATATTTTTGTATTTAAAAATATTTTATTTTTAATAAAATAATTTATATAATAAAAGTATTTATGATTTGTTTTGAGTTATTCTTAATGTTTTTTTAATCTTTGACCCCTAAGTAGTGGAGACTTTATGCTTAAACCATTATGGAGAAACTTGCCAAAAAGAGAACAAGAATTTGCATTATTAAATTGTCTATATAGTTGCTACAAAATTGTAGTAGTCAAAATAGTACACTTATCTCTTATTATTTCTACTTTCTTCTCAATTTACTTAGCTATTATTTTCTTTGGACACTACGGTACATTAAATATCTCGTATTCATATAAAATTCATAGAAGAATTGCACATTTAAAAGGTCTTTTCAGCACCAAAGGGTGTGGTGAAAAGATAGGGAGCTAAAATCTGTGTTTTCCATAAATCGAGTCGGTTAAAGTGTACCGCAATAATCTCACAAATATAATTTGGAGAGAATAGAGTATACACAAACCTTAGCCTACCTCACGGAAGTGAAGAAGTTGTTTCCAAAAGACCCTCGGGTCAAAAACAACAACACTAGAAACAGTAAAATACCATATTCATGATTGGATCGTTGAATTAGGTTTGGGCTTTACCCGGGGAAAGTTTTGGGCTCATACATTTGGGCCCAAGGTAATCTGTATTTGACCAAAAAACTCAGCCCAACACCCTGACACATTGCATGAGTGGTAAATTTTTGCAAGTTTAGCCAAATCGAAATATACATGTGCTTTTGAAAATATTTATGAAAAAGAGCATAAATAACTGCTTTTGATGTCGTCATTTAATTAATAATCATCTTATAATTATTTCTTTTGCACGTTTTCACGATATAGTTAAAAAGTCCTATATGAAACTCGATAACTTTAGACATTTGCGTATGAACGTATAATGCTATGAAGGCTAAGCATCATGTATCTACGCTTGATCATTTTTTTTATTGTAATACCTATAAAAATTAATTAAACTTTTCGTTATTTAAGTTTGATCATTTTCATGTATTCTTATACTATATTTATACACGATTAAAATACATACATATGTCTCGAGTCCCAACAACAAAAAAGTCTTTTCAAATCTTTCATTTGGTAGGTGATAGTTCAGTTAGAAAATTGAGTTCAGTGTCAAGTCAAACTAAGTTGGGAAGTGTAACACTTTTGTTATGTGTCACCATTTTCAAAATTCCTTCAACCCCACGATGAGAACCTAAACCCCCCACCCCTACCCTCACCCCGCAAGCCCAAACTCTCAACAATTCTCGTGCAATTGCTGTATCTTTCAGCTTTCCCAACTCTTTGCTCAAATCTGGATCTGATTCATACAAATTAGTGGAAATATTCAAGTTGTAAAGCAGTGAAAACAAAGAATCTCAAGTGGGGTTTGTAAAAGCTTTAATTTTTGGGTATGTGGGGTGAATTTTATTGCTATAGTTGATCAGTACCTTCTTGGGTTTTGTTCATTTTCTTGTTTTTTTGTTATCCACAGCTTAGCACCAAGGCCAGGGGATGGTGAAATAGAGCTTCATTGGGTTGTCAAAAAGGAAGAAATTAGAAAAAGATTGTATTTTTAATGTTTTGAGGTGAGCTTTACTTTTCGTTTATGAAGAATTATTTGTTTCAATCGAAATTGTTACCAGTATTGGAATGAAATAAGCTCAATTTTAAGTTCCAGTTCTCTTTTTTAGCTTAGTAAGAAAAATGGGTTATTGGATTTATGTGACTGGATTGATGGTTGTTGTGATTGTTACCATGTTGATGTCATTTATATTCGTGCTATCTCTCTATGCGAAGTTTTGAATTATCTGTTTTCGTCATACATTTTGGTCAATGTGAATGCCTTTTCTCTTTGGAGAACATGTGACTTTTGCAGGGTATAACCCTCCATGAGGCGGGAAAAGGAAGAGGGTTGTGACAACTATGATTATTAATCCACTCAATATTAGGTAAATGGATACATATGATTTAGTTGGAATTGAGACATAGTTGATTGATGTAGTACAACATGAGCATGCTCATGCTCATGTTGGTATTAGGAAGTAGAGGCTATATATGACGTTGGAGCTGATAGTAGCTGAGTGTTGATGAAACTCTAGGTCGAAAATGCATCAGTGCATTTAAGAAAAGGGGATGTAGATGATGTTGGGGTTAATAGTAGCTGAGTATTGATGAAACTCTATCTGGAAATAAATGCATCAGTGCATTTAAGAAAAGGAAATATAGAAGAAAACTTCACACATAATGATGAAGTTTACTATCTACTGACAGCGGCTATTAACGTCGCACTTATCCTATTGACTTTCCAAATTTCAAATCTCATTTACTCTAGCTTTGTCTCTATTCTTTTGAGGTTCAAGTGTTCTTCTGACGCATTGAAGCAGCAGTTCAACAATAATTGTGGAAGATAAAGTAATGGAAAGTTTTATCCAGAAACATCCTGGAAATTTGGTTGGAGTAGAAATATAATAACTTGATATGAAAGATTCTTGGGGATTAGTAAATAGTAAGTGAATCAAATGTTGATGGATACTTATGGTAAGTTGGTCAGTGGAAGGGAGATTTGCTGAATAAATTAATTGTTCTAACTTGAGTTATTGAAGGGGGGAGTCTTGACGTAACTGGTGAAATAGCTGCCTTGTGACCAGGAGGTCATGGGTTCGAGCCATGGAAACAGGCTCTTGCAAAAATGTAGGGTAAGGCTGCGTACAACACTCTTGTGGTCTAGCCCTTCCCCCGACCCTGTGCATAGCGGTAGCTTAGTGCACAGGGCTTCCCTTTTACTTGAGTAAATTACCATGATTAACTAGTAATATGCTTCATATTATTACAAAGTTGCTCAAGAGGAAGTTATTACTATAGGACAAAATAAATAGTTAAACTGCTCGTATTGGGCACCCTTGATGATAGAACCTTAAAAGATGCAGTTCTCTTAATCAAGCTAATAGTTTAGCTTCAGTCATGAGTGTGTGTGCGCACGCAGACACAAACACATGTCACTGACATTATTTCTGTGAATTTTCAGCATTATTATCTATACAATAAATGACCATATACTGTATGGGTTAATTTCTGTCATTTATGTGTCTTGTAGAACAGGTTCTGTGCTCGTGTCAAATCAGTTAACTGAGGATTACTACTTTTTGGAAGTGACCAGGTGCAATGGAGATATCATTGTTAAAAGTTCTTCTCAGCAAAATCTCCCAATTTTTCCATTTATCATCAAGTGAAAGCATAACTGATATTTTAGTTCAGAGGTATTATTGCAAGGCTGAGGATCTATTGAAGATTTTAAAGCCGATTCTTGAGGCCATTGTTGATGTTGAAGCAGCTTCCAGTGAGATGCTTCAGAAAGCATTTGTCGGACTAGCTCAATTTGTTGATGAACTGAGGGAGCTGTGTGAAACCTGGCAAACATTGGGCAGTAATGTTTATTTTGTATGTTCCAAGACCTATACTCTTTATTATTGGATAAGCAGATAGTCCATTTATTCATTTTCATAATCAGCAAACTGAATGATAATGGGATGTAGTGCACTTATAGAATTTATGGTTTATATTTAAGGCATTTTAATACTTTGAGCAGCTATATTTATTTATATTGTTGATGTGTTAATGATCTATAGGTCCTGCAAGCGGAACCCCTGATCGTACAAATTCGAACATGTAGTCTTGAAATTCTCGAGCTACTCAAAACTTCTCATCAATGCCTTCCTACTGATACAACTTTGACATCTCTTGAGGTAGGAGCCAAAACCGGTCATTCCGGATCTTCTTTTCCCTTATATTTGCCCTATTCCGACCCCAGCTGTAATGTTCCTCTCTGCTCTTTCTGTCAGTTAGAGTTGCCATCCTTACTTATGGGGATTTCCTGATGTCTTATATTTGGATTGCAGCACTGTATACTGAAAATTAAGTATGTGGATTATGAACTGATGTCCATGACTATCACAAAGTCTATTGAGGCTCAAATGGAAGGCTTGGGAGCAAACTCAGACAGCTTTGCAAAACTTGCGGATTGCCTAAGATTGAAGTCAAACCGAGAGCTTTTGATTGAGCTTGTGGCCCTTGAAAAATTGAAGGAGAACGCTGAACAAGCTGAAAAGACTGAGGAAGTTGAATATATTGAGCAAATCATAGCTCTTGTTTCCCATATGCACGACTGCTTCATCACAATGAAACAGTCTCAGACCTGCACGCCTGTGCCGATACCTCCTGATTTTTGTTGCCCCCTCTCACTCGAGTTGATGACTGACCCTGTAATTGTTGCTTCTGGACAAACTTATGAGCGAGCTTATATAAGGAAATGGATTGATCTCGGTCTTACTGTGTGTCCTAAGACAAGGCAAATGCTGGGGCACACAACTCTCATTCCTAATTACACCGTTAAGGCACTTATTGCAAATTGGTGTGAGTCAAACAATGTAAAGCTTCCTGATCCGACAAAATCTCTGAGCTTGAACCAGCCATCTTCATTTCTAGCACATGCAGATTCTGGCATGCCCAGGGATACCCAGGGTTTTCCCCTTCCGAGGGGCAATCACTCTTTGTCACCCGATTCTGCTCGCTCTTTAAACTCTCCACGGAAGAGATTGATTTCATCAAGTATGACCCAAAGAGAAGGATCATCTCCATCCCATCCCCATTCCTCTTTGGATGATTCTTTACCTGGAGTTGCTAGTAATATGCTTGCTCTGGATGTTGAAAGGATATCTATTAAGAGTTCTGAAGAACGGATGGCCCACTCTGGAGAGATAAACTCACATGGGCATTGTATGTTAGCAGCCAATGAATACTCCCTTGTAGGTCATAATCGAACCAGCTCGGCACCCAGCACACTATCTAATTCAAACTTTTCACCGACAATTCCTGGTGATGGAAATGAAGTGTTCTCAAGGTCAGCAGCAGCTGCGACTGATGCTTCAGGGGATGTATCAGAATCCCAACCTGTTGCTCCATTGTCTGTTCTACAAAGGGAGCCAGAATTCCCATCCATGCTGGAGACAAGAGTTCGAAATCAATCCATCTGGGGTAGACCTTCTGAGAGGTTTCCTAGAATAGTTTCTTCTGCTACGGTTGAAAGAAGGGCTGATCTTTTGGAACTTGAGGAGCAAGTTAGGAAGCTGGTTCAGGATTTGAGTAGCAATTCCATTGATGTGCAAAGAGATGCCACAGCTGAACTCCGATTACTTGCCAAGCACAATATGGATAATCGTGTTGTAATGGCAAACTGTGGTTCCATCAACTTGTTGGTCAACTTACTTCATTCAGAAGACATGAAAGTACAGGAAAATGCTGTTACCACACTTCTCAACTTATCAATTAATGACAACAACAAGTGTTCGATTGCAAATGCTGATGCAATTGAACCTCTGATTCATGTCCTCCACACAGGGAGTGGTGAGGCTAAAGAAAACTCTGCTGCTACACTTTTTAGCCTTTCTGTGATTGAGGATAACAAGATGAAGATTGGGAGGTCTGGTGCTATCAAACCTCTTGTGGATTTATTGGGAAATGGAAGTCCTAGGGGCAAGAAAGACGCAGCAACAGCTTTGTTTAACTTGTCAATACTTCATGAAAACAAGGGTCGCATTGTGCAGGCTGGTGCTGTTAAGTTCCTTGTAGAGTTGATGGACCCTGCTGCTGGGATGGTTGACAAGGCTGTTGCTGTTTTATCAAATCTCGCAACCATTCATGAGGGAAGAGCAGCAATTGGTCAGGAAGGAGGAATTCCTGTTCTGGTTGAGGTTGTTGAGCTCGGTTCTGCAAGAGGTAGGGAGAATGCAGCAGCAGCTTTGTTGCAATTATGCACTAACAGTAGCAGGTTCTGCAATATGGTTCTCCAGGAAGGAGCTGTACCTCCGTTAGTAGCATTGTCACAGTCTGGCACCCCAAGAGCCAGAGAAAAGGTACGACAATTTTGCAGAAACCTCACACTTTCCTTTCTATTCTAATCCAAGTATTCTAACGACATATATGCAGGCTCAGGGACTTCTTAGCTACTTCAGAAACCAACGGCATGGTAATGCAGGGAGGGGCTGATTTTTACACTGGACAGTAACACATATTTTTCTCAAGGTAGCTGACTAAATGCTGCTTGTAAATTTGATACTGAGAGTTATTTATGTAGAGGATTCGGCTTATTGAAACATTCTAGTATTTGTGATAGAAGAATTATTTATGGAGGCTCTTATGAGTCCATCGGCCAATAACATTGTATGTGAATGTGGAAAAGCCTATTATACGCGAAACGAGTGTCTGATTGCATTAGATATAAACTTGGTATGTGAATGAGATTGGATGAGCTATTTTATTCAGAATCACAAGATTTTTTAATTTTTTTTGGATGAAGAAAGTATTTGTTTGTGTTTTGATTGTTTGTTATGTGTTTGGACAAGAAAAAACAGTGAAGAAACAGTACATTTGAGAATTTGTAAACCTGGAATTGATTGATAATTTGATATGAAGGTAACAAACACTACTAAAAACAAAAGTTTTTTTCCTCCGCATATCTGTGAAAAATTTATGCTATAAAACATGATTTTTTCACTCATTTCCCAAGACAAAACACTCTGTCGACTAATTTTTGAAAATAACTAAAGAAATAAGTCTACATAAATAAATGTCTAAATCAAGTGTAAGGCTTTGCTGGTTTTTTAACTAAAAACAGTTTGCTTGTTTTGTTTTTTCCTATTTTTTATTTTGCAAACTTTTGTATTTTTACATCAAATTGAATGAATCTGTGTGATGTAGCTTTCTTTGAAATTTCCATTTGACTTGAGAGTAACAAAACATTGATTTCCCTATTTGACCAATCCTTGTCACGGAGTAAAAAAACATAAAGAAATTCTATAAATTGAGAATCTTTTCTTCTCACGTAATAACATAAGCAACATACACAGTGTAATCATTAAAGAGTCTCGACTTGTATAGGGGATATTATTCTTCCAAGTAGCATTTTGTACTGATTATGTGATTCATGCCTTCTAACACACCTCATCTTCATCAAACCCGGTAGCCGCCATTAGTTAAAACTAATGCTATAGCACCTTTAATTTGACTAGTCAAAGAAAGGTTGGTGTCTTTTCTATATATATTTGTATATAGTTTTTTCATAAATATTGCCACTACCAACTTTTTGAATTGCTTAAACAATATGGGGCTCTCAGTTGTGTTCTTAATTTTCTTTCTTTATCAGCTTTCTTGTTCTTCATCCATATTTCTGTGTCCCAAACATCAAAGCATTTCCCTTCTAAAATTCAAGGAAACATTTACTATAAATCCCTATGCTTCTTCTAGATGTTATTTCCGCGGTCAGAAGCCTTATCCAAAAATGAGTTCATGGAACATGAGCAGAGATTGTTGTTTATGGGATGGAGTCATATGCGATGAGATGACTGGCCATGTCATTGAACTTGACCTCGGCTGCAGCCGTCTTGTAGGAAAGATTGATGCCAATAGCAGCCTATTCCAACTCTCTCATCTCCAAAGACTCAACCTTTCTTGGAATGAATTCCACGGTTCTCATATCTCGCCTGAATTTGGAAGGTTCTTGAGCTTGACACATCTTGATCTTTACAACTCCAATTTCTCAGGTCAAATTCCTTCTGAAATCTCTCATCTTTCCAACTTACACTCTCTTCGTCTCTCTGGTACTGGTCGTCTACGACTCGTAGCTCACGATTTTAAATTGCTTCTTCAGAACTTGACTCAATTAAGAGAACTTGATCTTACTTTCATAAACATCTCTTCCACCATTCCTCTGAATTTTTCTTCTCATTTAACAACTCTGAATCTGGGATTTTCAGGATTGTATGGGATAATACCGGAGAGTATTTTTCATCTTCCTAATCTGGAAACACTTGACTTAAGTTACAACTATAAGCTCAATGGTTATTTTCCAAAAACCAAATGGAACAGCAGTGCATCTCTCATATTGTTAGATCTCAGTGGTGTGAATTTTTCTGATAATTTGCCTAAGTCTATTGGCTATCTAACTTCGGTGCATTCTTTGTCTCTTCCAAATTGCAACCTTAGAGGGCCTATTCCTGAATCTCTTTCGAATCTCACCTGCATAGAGCATTTGTACCTTCAAGATAACTCCCTGAATGGAACAATACCATCAGGGATGTTCTCCCGTCTTCCATCACTAAGTCGTTTACACTTGAGTAATAACCACTTTTCTGGTGAGCTTGAGGATTTCAAGTCCAATTCACTAGAAGAGATTATTTTAGGAGGCAATCAGCTGCAAGGTCAAATTCCCAAGTCGGTTCAAAACCTTGAGAACCTAAAAGGGCTTGATCTTTCCTTCAATAATTTTAGTGGCAATGTGGATATCAGCTTGTTTTCAAACCTCAAACAACTTTTGGGTCTAAGTCTTTCATATAATAAGATATCATTGATCAATGAGAACAAAATTAATTTTACATGGCCTGAATCTCTTAATGTGTTGCAATTTGCTGCATGTGAAGTGAAAGAATTGGAGTTTCTAAGATCCGCAAACCAGCTTTTGGTGTTGGATCTTTCACATAATAAGATTCAAGGAAGACTTCCTGATTGGGCATGGTCTAACTGGATGTCATTGATGACTCTTGATATATCCCACAACATGTTGACAAGAGTGGAGTCAATTCCTCTTCAGACTGTAGATACTATTGATTTACGGTCCAATTTGCTTCAAGGTTCACTACCTATTCCACCAATTTCCACAAGATACTTCTTAATATCCCAAAATAATCTCACTGAAGAAATTCCTCCATCTATTTGCAATTTGACATCACTGGTAATGCTAGATTTGGCGAGAAACAACTTGAAGGGAGAAATTCCACAATGTTTGGGTAGTATTAGTAGCCTCGAGGTTCTGGATATGCACAACAACAAACTTTCTGGGAATATTCCAACAATTTTTACCAATGGAAGTTCATTGAGAAGCCTCAACTTTCATGGAAATAAACTAGAGGGGAAAATTCCCCGATCTTTGGCCAATTGCGAAGACTTGCAGGTTCTTGATTTAGGAGATAATCATCTCATTGACACATTCCCTATGTGGTTGGGAACTCTTCCAAAGCTACAAGTTTTAAGCTTGAGATCAAATACATTGCATGGGTCCATTCAACCTCCAAGGATTGAAACTATTTTTCCCGAGCTTCAAATCATAGATCTCTCTTACAATGCCTTCTCGGGAAACTTACCTACAAGTTTGTTTCAACATCTGAAAGCCATGAGGACAATTGATTCATCAATGGAAGCACCAAGATATCGTGGAGATACATATTACCAAGATTCTATTACAGTTACAACCAAGGGATTTATACGTGAAATTGTGAGAATCTTGTATTTGTACATCGTTATCGATCTTTCAAGTAATAAATTTGGAGGGCAAATTCCAAGTATCATGGGAGATCTCATTGCAGTTCACACATTGAATTTATCTCATAATGGATTGCAAGGTCATATTCCACAATCATTCGGAGATTTATCCTCAGTTGAATCATTGGATCTATCAGGAAACCAGCTTTCGGGAGAGATACCACAACAACTAGTTTCTCTTACATCGCTTTCATTCTTAAATCTCTCCCACAATCATCTCCAAGGATGCATTCCTCAAGGACCTCAATTTCATACTTTTGAGAGCAATTCATATGAAGGCAATGATGGATTACGTGGATTTCCTGTTTCAAAAAGTTGTGGCGATGCTCGGGTATTAGATACAAATGATACCGTATCTGAACTAGATGATGAAGAAAATGATTCTGAATTTCTGAGTGATTTTTGGAAAGCTGCTCTTATGGGCTATGGAAGTGGACTATGTATTGGATTATCCGTAATGTATTTCATGATTTCAAGTGGAAACCCGAGATGGCTTGCAAGAATCATTGTAGAGATGGAACACAAAATAATGACGGGAAGGAGAAAGAATCAGCGAAGGAAAAGGAATTGCAGAAGAAGAAATATGTAACATTTTAATATATTCAATGAAGTGTATGCATTTCTTGTTTCAGTGAACTGTATAATTTACAAATTTATGCAGTTTATTGCATCTTCTCAACAACATCGCGTAATTTTTCCATTTATCATCTAGTGAAACAAGGTAGGAACACTTAAATCTTCTCATCAATGCATTCCTGCTGACACAACTTTGACATCTCTGCTCTCCTGGAGCCAAAAACAGGTCATTGTCTGTTCTATGAAGGGAGACGGATATGTTTTCCGTTAAACATTTAGTGGCAATAAATTTTCCTTTCACAAAAGCATATAGCGGTAGTTGAGTTAATGTCATTGCATTCTAAATATCATAGAAACAGGTCTCTTTTGGTTGTCGCCGACTTCATTGACCATTAAATCGCACCCATAACTCTCATTATAGGCACAGTAGTATGTGAACATGTACACTTTCATTTGAAATTTCCACTACAAGACTTTGAAAAACAATACCAGTATTTAAGTTGTTTCTAGAAATGCTTTAATTCCATTGACTTTTGAAGTCGTCCATTCATTAAAGGCATTGCCTTCATTAAATCAAGTGTGAATTTGACAATTAGCTTACTACAAATAGTACTTTTAACTCAATTATTTTTATGTGTTATATATTACTATCAAAATACAGACCCTCTTAATCAGTACAAAACTTTTTCTTGATTTTCACTATCAACTCTAAACACTTTGATGCGAAAAATGGTCTACCGGCAATTCTCATTTCTGTTCTTTTTCTGTTTCTGTCTGCTTTCTTTTTCTTCATCCATACCTCATCGGTGCCACGAAGATGAAAGTATTTCCCTTCTAAAATTCAAGAAAACACTTACTGTAGATCCTTCTTCAGATAGGTGTATTTCCTACTCTTATCCAAATATGAGTTCATGGAACAAGAGCAAAGATTGTTGCTCATGGGATAGAGTCATATGCGATGAGATGACTGGCCATGTCATTGAACTTGACCTCGGCTGTAGCCGTCTGGTAGGAAAGATTGATTCCAATAGCAGCCTATTCCGACTCTCTCATCTCCAAAGGCTTGATCTTTCTTGGAATAACTTCTTAAATTCTCACATCTTTCCTGAATTTGGCAGGTTCTCGAGCTTGACACATCTTAATCTTACCAACTCATTTTTCTCAGGCCAAATTCCTTCTGAAATCTCTCATCTTTCCAAGTTACAATCTCTTCATCTCTCAGACCTAAGAGTTGGACCTCACAATTTTAAATTGCTCCTTCAGAATTTGACCCAATTAAGAGAGCTTGATCTTACTTACGTGGACATCTATTCCACCATTCCTCTGAATTTTTCTTCTCATTTCATAACTCTGGGGCTGGAAGACACAGGATTGTACGGGATAATACCTGAGAGTATTTTTCACCTTCCCAACCTGGAAACACTTGACTTATCCAGCAATTATCAGCTAAGTGGTTATTTTCCAAAGACCAAATGGAACAGCAGTGCATCTCTCGTAGGGTTAGATCTCAGTGGCGAGAATTTTTCTTGTAATTTGCCTGAGTCTCTTGGATATCTAACATCAGTTCATTCTTTGTCTCTTGGAAATTGCAACCTTAGAGGACCTATTCCTGAATCTATTTCGAATCTCACCCGCATAGAGTCTTTGTACCTTGATGGTAACTCCCTGAATGGAACAATACCATCAGGGATGTTCTCCCTTCCATCACTAAGTTATTTAAGCTTGGGTTCTAACCAATTTTCTGGTCAGCTTGAGGATTTCAAGTCCAATACACTAGTCTGGATTCAGTTACAGGGCAATCGGCTGCAAGGCCATCTTCCCAAGTCAATTCAAAACCTTGTGAACCTAAAATATCTTGATCTTTCTTTCAATAATTTTAGTGGTAGTGTGGATGTCAGCCTCTTTTCAGACCTCAAACAGCTTTCGTATCTTAGTCTTTCATACAACAGTATCTCATTGACTAATGAAAAGGAAGTTAAATCTAGTTTGCCGGAGTCACTTGAGTACTTACGTTTGGCTGCGTGTGATGTGAAAGAATTGGAGTTTCTAAGATCCGCAAAGAAGCTATCTGACTTGGATCTTTCAAATAATAAGGTTCAAGGAAGAGTTCCTGATTGGGCATGGTCTACTTGGAATTTTTCAGTGTCAAATCTTAATCTATCCCACAATATGTTGACAAGCATGGACTCAATTCCTCTACAATCTGGATATATTATTGATTTGCGGTCTAATTTTCTTAAAGGGTCACTACCTATTCCAGGGAATTCCACTGCATTCTTCTTCACATCAGAAAATAATCTTAGTGGGGAAATTCCTTCATCTATTTGCAATTTGAAATCAGTGCAACTTCTAGATTTGGCGAGAAACAACTTGATGGGAGCAATTCCACAATGTTTGGGTAATATCAGTAGCCTCCAGGTTTTGGATATGCACCACAACAATCTTTCTGGGACTCTCTCAACGGCTTTTGGAATCGTAAGTGAGCTTAGAAGTCTCAACTTGCATGGAATTGAACTAGAGGGGAAAATCCCTCGATCTTTGGCCAATTGCGAAGCGTTGCAAGTTCTTGATTTAGGCGATAATCACCTAAACGACACATTCCCCATGTGGTTGGGAACTCTGCCATATCTGCAAGTTTTAAGCCTGAGATCAAACAAGTTGCATGGATCTATTAGAACTTCAAGCATAGAAAACATGTTTCCCCAGCTTCGCCTCATCGATCTCTCTTACAATGCCTTCTCGGGAAACTTACCTACAAGTGTGTTTCAACATCTGAAAGCCATGAGGACAATTGACCAATCATTGAAGGCACCAAGATCATCTTACATAGAATCGTACTACCAAGATTCTATTACAATTGCAACTAAGGGAATGGATCGTGAAATTGTGAGAATCTTGTATTTGTACACCGCTCTTGATCTTTCAAGTAATAAATTTAGAGGAAAAATTCCAAGCATTTTGGGGGATCTTGTTGCACTTCATGTGTTGAGTTTATCTCACAATGGATTGCAAGGTCAGATACCATCATCACTCAGAAATTTATCTTCAATTGAATAATTGGATCTATCGGTTAACCAACTTTCGGGTAAGATACCACAACAACTGGCTTCTCTTACATCTCTTGCATTCTTAAATCTCTCCTACAATCATCTCCAAGGATGCATCCCTCAAGGACCTCAATTTCATACATTCGAGAATAATTCATATGAAGGTAATGATGGATTACGTGGATTCCCTATTTCGAAAGGTTGCGGCAATGATCAGGTGTCAGAGACAAACTATACCGAATCTGCTCTAGATCACGATCAAGAAAGCAATTCAGAATTTCTCAGTGATTTTTGGAAAGGTGCTCTGATGGGCTACGGAAGTGGACTGTGTATTGGATTATCCATAATATATATCATGATTTCAACTGGAAATCTTAAATGGCTTGCAAGAATCATTGAAGAGATGGAACAAAGGATCATTACGCGGAGGAGAAAGAAGCAGCGAGGTCAAAGGTATTACAAAAGAAGAAATAATCGCTTCTAGACAATTGTTACCAATCAAGAAGGATTTGATTTCAGAACTTTAGGTATTCAAGCTAAGCTCTACACTTATCTTTTTAGTTTATTTTAACAACTAATATATTAGCTTTCGTATTTCTTCGTTGTAACAATATCTGATCGATACTCTATGCGAAGCATATTGAAAATGAGCTGAAGATTTTGAAAAGGATTAACCTTAGTTGATATTTTGTTATTATATATATTGTTAATGGATGGTTAAATATGTTTTTGTAGTGAAAATTATGTAATTGATCTGTTACAAACTAAAACAAGAAAATATTACTCGGAAATTCAAAGAACTGCATTAATACTTTTAGGTGCAAGAAAGAAGATATTTAGAGGGAACTTTGTGTTATTTCCCCTCAGGGGCGGCTCAACGTAATTGGGGACCTAAAGCGAAATTTCAATTTGAGGCCTAAAATATAAACAAACTTTGTATACATATTTATTCAAAATTTATTTTTCTTACACTATTTAGATGAAAATTATTAGTATTTAATATTGTTTTTCAGTTATTGATTTTAGGTAAGATTTTATCAACTCAACATTGAAAACATCCTTTCAGTGAGACAATTATTATATGAATTATTAACATAATTTTATAAGTAACAAGTTGACAAATATTAAATAAATATAGGAGTTAGAACCACAAAATCTGATTCAAGAAGTTAATGACTTGGTATACACCATTTTAATATGCTTGTTGTAATGTTTGAAACTAAAATTTAAAAAGAAATAAAAAAAATTTTGTAATTCACTTTGTTCAACACTTTTCACTATTAATTCTTATTTTTAACAAAGTATAAAAGATGTTAAAGTGGGTAAAATAATATATTTTTTTATCATAATTAATTATTTTTTTCTATAAAAAATTAACATATAATTTATTCTTGATAATAATTTGGGCCCCCCAAAATTTGGGGGCCTAAGGCATAAGCCTTATTTTACAAAGGGAAGAGCCGGCCCTGTTTCCCCTTTAGGCCTTACGCGGTGAAAATGCAAACCCTAATGTGAATATAGAAAACCGAATTAAAAAAATAATAATAATAGAAAAAGTCACGTCTCATTCTAAATATCAGGTCCCTAATAATAATTATCACGTCTCATTGGAAAATGTTGTTTCTCTACTTTTTTGGATACTTAAATATGCTTTCTTTGAAATTTCCACAGCAAAACTTGTGCATTAATGACTTGAGAATAACAAACATTAATTTCCCTATTTCTTTTCAAATTTACAATTGGTGAAGGTGGAATTTGGAAATAATTACAGCGTGGAGTAGCTTTCATTGAAATTTCCACAACAAGACTTGTTCAAAGACTTTTAAAACAATAATTTTTTTAAGTTCCACAATTAGCAATCCACACATTGTGTCCTCCACACACTTCATTGTCACTCCACTCTCACCTTCCATAGTATTTGTCTTGATTATACACAAATGATTTAATGTAACACATTTTATTTACGTGCCAAACACAAGAAAATAAGTAAGAAATTCACTTATTTTCCTAGAAAATATTTTTTTTCCTACCGAACACACCTTTAATTGGGGGAATCTCAGTTGACATTTGGTTGACTATCTTTTATTAATTAAAGAAAAAAAAAACAGAATAACACAAACTTGACTTGTGTTGAACAATATAAAATCCTATGAACCGTCCAATTAGTTCATTGAAACCCAAAATAATAAACTCAAAATATGATGATGGTTCCCAAAAAAATATTCTCTTTACTTCAGTTTTTTACTCTTTTATCTCTCTTTACAGTTACTTTTGCTTCCACTGAGGAAACAACTTCCCTCCTGAAATGGAAATCAACTTTCAAGAACCAAAATAACTCCTTATTGGCTTCATGGAGACCAAGTTCTAACGCATGCAGGGACTGGTACGGAGTTATATGCTTTAACGGTAGGATAAACAGGTTGAAAATTACAAATTCTAGTATCATTGGTACCCTCTATGCTTTTCCGTTTTCATCTCTCCCTTTTCTTGAATATTTTGAACTTAGCATGAACAATTTCTCTGGAATCATCCCCCCTGAGCTTGGTAATCTCACTAATCTTGTCTATCTTGACTTGTCCATCAATCAGATTTCAGGCACAATCCCACCACAAATCGGCTCACTATCCAAGCTTGAGACCCTCCACATCTTTGTTAACCATTTAAATGGTTCCATTCCTAAAGAAATAGGTTACCTAAGGTCTCTTACTGAACTAGATTTGAGTTCTAACTCTCTTAATGGTTCTATTCCTACTTCATTGGGGAATTTGAGCAGGTTGACATATTTGCATCTTTATGAGAACCAGCTTTCTGGCTCTATTCCGGAAGAAATAGGAAAACTTGTCAATCTTGTTCAGGTTTTTCTTGATTCAAACCAATTAACAGGTCATATTCCAGCAGAAATAGGAAAACTTGTCAATCTTGTTAAAGTTTATCTTGATGAAAATCAATTAACAGGTCATTTTCCGGCAGAAATAGGGAAGATGAAGTCACTTCAGGAATTAAGCTTATCACGTAACAATCTTTCTGATCTAATTCCAAAAACTATATGTGACTTAACAGAGCTCGAACTTCTGTACCTTTATCGTAATCAACTCTTTGGCCCAATTCCTAGTGAGCTGGGGAATCTGAAAAACCTCACTGATCTGGAATTATCCAATAATCACCTCAGTGGTTCAATTCCTAGTGAGTTGGGGAATCTGAAAAATCTCAATGATCTGCGATTATCCAATAATCAACTCTTTGGCCCAATTCCTATTGAGTTAGGAAACCTGAAAAACCTCAATTATCTGTTATTATCCAATAATCAACTCAGTGGTTCAATTCCATCATCCTTTGGTAATTTGAGAAACTTGCAAGTTCTGTCTCTCAATGACAACAATCTGATTGAGGAAATTCCTTCATCTATTTGCAATTTGGCATCACTGGCAACCCTGTATTTGTCAAGAAACAACTTGAAAGGAAATATTCTGAAATGCTTGGGTAATATCAGTGCCCTCCAGTATGTGATGATGTCACATAATAATCTCAGTGGAGAGCTCCATCCGTCTATTTGCAATTTAACATCCCTACAAATTCTAGATTTGGGTAGAAACAATCTAAAGGGAGCAATTCCGCAATGTTTTGGCAACATGAGTCGTCATCTTGAGGTTCTGGATATGCAACACAACAATCTTTCTGGGACTCTTCCAACGACTTTTAGAGCTGGAACACTTAGAAGCTTCAACTTGCATGGCAATAAACTAAAGGGAAAAATTCCCAAATCTTTGGCCAATTGCAAAGAGATGCAAGTTCTTGATTTAGGAGATAATCATCTCAACGACACATTCCCGATGTGGTTGGGAACTTCTTAAAATTCAGAGAGAAAAATTGTAAACTGTATGTTTCATGTTTATGAATAAAACTTACTTACAAAGATGAATGTGTATCTATATATATACAAGTATAGAAGCTTCTAGATTCTAGACTACTCATCTAACAAACTCTAACAAACTCTAACAACTTAACTAACTAATCAGAAAAATAGTTACAAATAGTAATACTAACTAACTATCGATTTAGTATCTTCAATATCCCCCCTCAAGCTAGATGTATTGAAAACATTCAAAACACCTAGCTTGCTTAACAAAAAATCATGTTGAGACCTTCCTAATGCCTTGGTCAGTAGATCTGCTTGTTGATCTCGTGTGTTGATGTAGCAGGTTTTGATTAGGCCTCCTTGAATTTTTTCCCTAATGAAATGACAATCAATTTCAATATGCTTTGTTCTCTCATGAAAAACAGGATTTGCAGCAATTTGTAGAGCAGCTTTGCTGTCACAGTATATACTTGTAGATGCATCCAACTTCATTCCAATCTCTTTGAACAAATTTGTCATCCACACTACCTCAGCAGTCAGGGTGGCTAGGCTCCTGTATTCTGCCTCTGCAGAACTGCGAGACACAGTGTTTTGTTTCTTAGATTTCCAAGCTATCAGTGACTTCCCATACTTCAACAGATAACCAGTAACAGACCGTCTTGTAGTAGGACATGCAGCCCAGTCTGCATCACAGAATCCTGTAAGTTGTGGCTGTTTATCAGAACTCATTAGCAATCCTAAACCTGGTGCCATCTTAATGTATTTAACAACCTTCAAGGCTGCATTCCAGTGAGATGACTTTGGCTTTTGCATAAACTGACTTAAACATTGCACAGAAAAAGCTATGTCAGGTCTAGTATTAGTAAGATACAACAGCTTACCAATTAGCCTTTGATACCTGCTCACATCATCAAATAACTCATCACTATTATCTTCAGAAAAATCTGCACTAGTAAGCTTCATATTACATTCTAAAGGTGTAGTTGAAGGTCTAGATCCTGCTAACCCAACCTCAGATATCAATTCTAAAGCATACTTCCGTTGGTGCATTATAATACCTTGTGTAGACCGACAAAATTCAATTCCAAGGAAATATTTTAACTCCCCCAAATCCTTGATCTTGAAATGATGATGAAGTACCTGTTTAGTGTCTTGAATTAACTTGGGATCATTGCCTGTAATCAACAAGTCATCTACATAAACAAGTACAATCACCAATCCTGTCCCTTTCCTTTTAGTAAACAAAGAATAGTCTAGATGACTTTGTGTATATCCGGATTGAGACAAGGCTTCAGTAAGCTTGGCATTCCATTGTCTTGAGGCCTGTTTCAAGCCATATAATGACTTGACAAGCTTGCAAACTTGTTTCTGCCCTTTGCAACCAACTTGTCCCTTTCCTTTATCACCAAATCCTTTGGGTAACTCCATATATACTTCCTCAAAAAGATCTCCTTGCAAAAACGCATTGAAGACATCCATTTGATATATTATCCAATTTTCAGTAGATGCTACAGCAATGATTGCCCTTACTGTCACCATTTTCACTACCGGTGAAAATGTTTCGTAATAGTCTATTCCTTCAGTCTGGCTGTACCCCTTTGCCACTAACCTGGCCTTGAATCTGTCAACTTCCCCATTTGCCTTATATTTAATTTTGAAGACCCATTTGCAACCTATGGCCTTCTTCCCTGGTGGTAATTGCATCACTGTCCAAGTACCATTATCCTCTAGCGCATTAATTTCCTGTCTCATGGCTTGCACCCATCTGCCATCCTTAACAGCTTCTTCATAACTTCTAGGCTCAGTTTCTGTGGACATTTCACTCAGGTATGCTTGGTATGAAGGAGATAAGTGGGAATATGTTACATAGTTGGCAAGTGAATAAGGATGTGAAGAATCAATCACCTGTGTGACATAATCCTTTAGCCAAACAGGTGGATGAGAAGATCTGGTAGAAGTCCTAGGTCCTATATCAGGCATAACCTCAGGGCTTAACTGTGGATTAATCTCTGCATCATCATCATCATCAAGTACAACATCACTTTCACTACTATCTTGTTGTGGTGGATCATTCCTTAGCTGGTTGGGATCACATAACACAGGATCTTGTACAACTGCTCTGAATGTGTCATGTTTTTCAATGTCGTCAAAAGGAAGTTGTTGGCTTGCAAAAATTGGCATATGTTGATCTTTAAGATTGCTGAATGGAAAAATAGACTCCTTAAAAACAACATCCCTACTGATTATGAATTTTTTCAGACTTAAATTGTATAGAATGTATCCCTTCTGAGTGACAGAATACCCCATCATAACACATGCATCAGCTCTAGGATTAAACTTGTCGTTCTTAACAAGCTTAGTTGCATAGCATAAACATCCAATGGTTCTCAAGTGATGAAGTTGTGGCTTTGCTTGATGAAATACTTCATATGGTGACTGCTTATGCAGTACCTCAGTGGGCATTCTATTTATCAGGTACACTGCTGCCAAAACACATTCACCCCAATACTTAATAGGAATGGACCCCTGAAATCTAAGAGCTCTTGCCACCTCTAGGATATGTCTGTGTTTCCTTTCGACCACTCCATTCTGTTGTGGAGTGTGAGGACAACTACTCTCATGAATAATTCCGAAAGATGTAAACAGTGTGCAACAATCTTTATTGAAAAATTCAGTGCCATTGTCTGATCTCACTTTCTTAACCTGTCTGTTAAACTGATTTTTAACCAAAGCAAGAAAAGATTTCAAAACACCAAACACATCACTTTTAAACCTCAACATGTATAACCATACCATTCTTGAATGATCATCCACAATGGTTAAGAAATATCTGAAACCATTATGTGTAGGAGTTTTATATGGCCCCCATACATCAAGATGAACGAGATCAAAAACATTTTCAGTTCTAGAAGTACTTATTGGAAATGGAATTCTAGTTTGTTTAGCCAAAGGGCAAACTGAACAATTATCACAAATTGTAGTATCCTGATTTACTAAACACAAGAGCTTCAAAGTCTTGAAAGAGGGATGCCCCATCCTGTTGTGCCACAACATGCATTCTGAATCTCCTGTCTTTGTCATTAATATCTTGTCTGTGTTGGCAGCTATCTTTGCATATGAGAAATTACTGGGAAAGTAGTATAAACCATTTTTCTCTTTACCAATCCCCTTCACCTCTCCATTGAAGAGGTCCTGAAAGATACAACACTCAGGGAAAAAATGCACAGAACAGTTTAGTTGTCTGGTCAACTTTGAGACTGAGAGTAGATTATATTTGAAGTCAGGAACTACTAGAACATTCTCCAACACATCATCTGCTGATATCTTACAATTTCCTGAATGAGTAACTGATGTAGTTTGGCCATTAGGTAAGTATACCTTTCTTCCTACATTTTTATTAGAGTTACTAACACTGTCTAACATCTCAATCTTAGAAGTCATGTGACATGTGGCTCCTGAATCAACTATCCATTTATTGCTGTTACTAATTCTGTTTTGTTCAGCATTAGCATTTACTATATCCATGTAACTATCTTCACCCGCAGATATTGAGAAAACAACAAGGTCATTGGAATTGGGATTACCTGCCATATTGGCCACTTCTGCATACTCTTCTTCTTCTTCAGCAAGCAACTGCATTATCTTCTGATACTGAGTTGGAGTATAGGATTGTCTCATAGCTAAAGCCTGCAAGTTAGTTCTAACAGAATGAAGACTATTTGAACTCTGCATTCCAGAAGAACCTACAGATTTGTCCCCAAATGCATCATGCTTTAAATCTTCAGCACCATTTTCAATTTGTACATTGTTTGCAATGCTTTTTCCTTTGTTCCCATTCATTCCTCTGCCAAGATTTGTAGCTCCATATTCTTCATGTCCTGATTTCTTCTTAAACTTCCAGTCATCAGGGTAGCCAATGAGTTTGAAACATATGTCTCGAGTATGACCATGCATTTTACAATGATCACAGAATAAGTTCCAATTAACTTTCTTCTTTGCATAGTAACCACCTCTACCAGTGTTTAATTCACCCCTATTTCCATCATTACGTGTGTTTCTAGAGTTGAAATTACCTCTTCCTGCGTATAAAGCTGTAGCCTCACCCATATGATTACCTGTGTGCATTTCTGAAGTACTTCTTTGGCTTTCATCAGCCAGTATCATTGCATATGCCTTACTCACACTTGGTAATGGGTTCATCATCAAGATCTGGCTACGTGCATGACTGTATACTTCATTCAGCCCCATTAAAAAAGCAAACAGACGCAAGTATCTCATGTGATCTACATATACTCTAGATTTATCGCAACTACAAGATGGAGGAGGAACAAGAGCATTGAATTCATCCCACATTAACCGTATCTTAGTAAAATAAGCTGAAACATTTGAATTACCTTGGTGAATTGTACAGATCTCTCTATGAAGTTGATAGATCCTCGATCCATCGACCTTATCAAAACGTTCCTTCAGATCTGCCCACACTGTTTCTGCATCTGAAGCATAAACGATCCCACTCAATAGCTCTTTTGAGACTGTATTCATGATCCACGCAAGCACGAAGGCATTGCACCTTTCCCATTGTTCCTCTAATTCAGGTGCATAATCAGTTCGTCGACATGTCCCAAGCACGAACCCCAATTTGCTCTTTGCTCTGAGGTTAATCACCATGGATCTGCTCCATAACGCATAGTTCTCTGCTCCAGTTAATTGAACTGTAGTCAATACACAGCCAGGCGTATCTGAAGGATGAAGATATAGAGGATGGTTTCTCCTTGATTCAACTAACGCCAAAGTATCTGGCTCAACAACAACAGACGTACCAACAGTAGCAGGCGCATCACTCTCGTTCACCATTGCTCAAAGTAGAAGATCGATCTTCTTTGTTAATGGAAGACCCAGAATCAATTTTGCTTCGTGAACCAAACAATTATTGGTTCAAAGCTCTGATACCATCTTAAAATTCAGAGAGAAAAATTGTAAACTGTATGTTTCATG